GGACAATGTGTCAAATCACTTTACACAGGTGATTGTGCACCCAAGTTGGTGCAGGATCAGGGAAACTAAACGATATCAGTGCTAGAATGTAGTTTTGTCCATAGTATTTCAGGGCATCAGGAACTTCCAGATCATGCACAATGTGGAGTTTTAAGACCCATCTTTTCGACTGTGCTTTTCGGCACCTTCACCCTCTACCCTGCCTCTCAGCTCCCCCAAGCAGGGGCTCCAAGTCAAATGTGTGAAACACTTCAAGCGAGCCTTCCAACATGAAATGCGTTATATAGATACAAATTATAGTTATTATAGTTAATTTGGAGTTTATTGCAACTAGACAGCCGACTTCCACTGCATATTCCCCATTGCAGCAATTATCAATTATCACACATTGCTATCTTTTTATAATTATCAATGGGCTCTGAATAATAATTAATCCTTAAATTTGATATAGCACGTTTCAATCGGGAGGACATGTCAAAGCACCTTACAGGATTTCACTGTGAAGTGTAGAGACTGTGTATGTCATGAGCACAGGTGACAGCCAATTTACGCACTGCCTTGTCCCATAAACAGCCATGTAGCAAATTTCCAATTTTATTTGGGGGATTGTTGTTCATGAAACCGGGAGAAACTCCCTTTTCTTTTCGAAGAATGCCTTGGGATCTTTAACATCCACCTTAACAGGCGGACAGGATCTCAGTTTAATGTTTAGTCTGAAGGACAAAACCTGCAGTAATAATAACAATAATAATCCTTGCATTTGATATACCACCTTATCATGTCGCTGACGCGTCTCAAAGTGCTTCACAAAATATATTGTAAAGTGAATTGAGTGTATTTTGTGGGTGAAATACGACAGCCAATTGCATACAGCAGTGTCGTGCAAAGAGTCGTAGATTGAGGGATCACATTTTGTTTTGCTTCTCCAGCACTGGATTGGAGTGTCAGCATGGAATACATGAATTCTGAATCCCAGTATGGGGCTCAAACCCACAACCTTCTGACTCAAAAGTGAGAACATGACCAACTGTTAAATCAAGCTAAATAGTGCCAACTATCATGGAATGTTTTGTGCCATGGACTTACACCCATTAAAAACTGGAATGAGATTGCTCTGAATTTTCCGGGGGTAATAATTCCTTCAAAAAAAATTGGTCACTCAATCCACGACTGTTTGTGGGACACTGCTGTGCGCAATTGGCTTCTGCATTTGCCCACAAGATATAGTCAATTCACTTTATAGTGAAGCGCTTTGAGACATCTTGAAGATTTGATTCTTTGAAGTTCTGTTGCTCAGTGGTTAGAGCACTTGCCTCGCAAGCAAGAGACCTGGATTTAACTCCCAGCAGGGTGAAACCTTGGACAAGTTTCCTTACTCCACGTACTTGATAATAATCCCTCAAGAAAAAAAAATTATAAATTGGTCACTTCAATCCCATGACTGCTGTGCACAATTGGCTGCCATGTTTTGCCCGTAAAAATGCAAGAATTATTATTAGTGTCTTCACGTAAAGGAATCCGACAAGAAGCAACCATCTTCCAATTTCTAACTATTGACAGCTCATTGATTGGAAAGTTCTCAAGTAGTATAGCACAGAAGATGACACTAATTGCCAGCAATGTAACTGGTCCATTTCTAAACAATTAACATTGTAAAGTGCATCAACTCATTTGTTATTGGAAAAGAGGTAATTTGTCCTTGTGGCTACTGGAGTCCTTTATCCCATAACGCTGCATATTCATTGCAGATTGGGGCAAGCAGCACAATGCAACCAAGTTCAAATTCAGACAGTAGCTGACGGAGCAAGAATCATTTCAGTATCAAGTCTTGTTTTTTGTAGATATTACAACACAATTTACACTTATATAGCGTCCTCCACGCAGGGTAGCGTCTCAGTGCTCTATTAGGAAATACTAGAAGTAATATCTTGGTTAGTATACACTTGGTCAGTACATGAATATAATATTCATTGGGCTCAGCTTCTACAAACAACAAAATTGTATTTGTATAGAGCCTTTCACATCGGGATTCCCAAACGCATATATTTTCCAGCTTTAATTAGATTCACATGAAGAATACCTGAATGCAATTTGCGTTCATTCTAGCAGGAGTTAAAACCATGCAATGTATGTTCGAATTCAAGATCCTCACCCTCACCTACAAGGCCATTCACGGCCTTACTCCCCCCTACCTCTCCGACCTACTATCCCCCTACCTACCTGCGCGTACCCTCCGTTCCTCTGGCTCCGGTCTGCTCCACATCCCCGCCCCAACTGCCCTACCATCGGTGGCCGGGCCTTCAGCCTCTCAGCCCCGAGGCTCTGGAACTCTATCCCCCAGTGCCTTCGCCGCCTCCTCCCTTTCCTCCTTCAAGGCCGGTCTCAAGACCTTTCTCTTTGACCGTGCCTTCAGCTCCCCTCTCGACTCTCTACCCCCTCCTCGCTCCCTCCCTTCCCTCCCCTCACCCTGACCATTTCCCCCCTGCTCGGGTCCTGACCCCACTGTACAGCGCCTTGGGACGTCCTCCCGACGTGAAAGGCGCTCAATAAATGGAATCTTGTTGTTGTTGTTGATAGAGAGGGTGGATGAAGGTAGTGCAGTTGATGTAGTTTATATGGATTTTCAAAAGGCGTTTAATAAAGTGCCATATAAAAGACTTGTAAGCAAAATAGAAGCCCACGGTATTAAAGGGACATTACCAGCATGGATACAGTACTGGCTGGAAGACAAAAAGCAGAGAGTGGTGGTGAATGGTTGTTTTTTTGACTGGAGGGAAGTGTGTAGTGGTGACCCCCAAGGGTCGGTATTGGGACCACTACTGTTTTTGATCTATATAAATAATAATAAAAATAATCCTTGCATTTGATATAGCGCTTTTCACGTCAGAAGGACGTCCCAAAGCACTTCACAGAATATACTGTGAAGTGAATTGACTGTATATTTGTGGGCGAACGCGGCAGTCAATTGAGCACAGCAATGTCCCACAAACAGTCGTAGATTGAAAATGACCAATTTATTATTGTTTTTGGTTTTGGAGGGATTATTATTAGGCTCTGTGTGGAGTAAGGAAACTTGCCCAAGGTTTCGCCCTCTGCCTGTAATTGAACTCAAGTCTCTCGCTTGCAAAGCGAGTGCTCTAAGCACTGAGCTACAGGACTCCCATGACACAGACTTGGGTATAGGGAGTACAATTTCCAAGTTTGCAGATGATACTAAGATAGGAAAAGTAGTAAACAGTAAGGAGGATAGTAGCAGACTGCAAGGGGACATAGACAGACTGGTAAAATGGGCAGACATGTGGCAGATGAAGTTTAATGTGGAGAAATGCAAAGTGATGCATTTTGAGAGGAAGAATGAGGAGAGGCTATATAAGCTTAAAGGGGATGATCGAATAGGGGGGTTCATTTAAGTAAATCTTTGACAGTGGCAGGACAGGTAGATAAAGGTGTTTAAAAAAACATACAGGATACTAAGCTTTATAAATAGGGATATAGAATACAAAAGTCAGGAAGTTGTGATGAACCTTTACAAAACACTGGTTAGGCCTCAGCTAGAGCACTGTGTTCAGCTCTGGGCACCACACTTCAGGAAGGAAATCAAGACATTGGCAAGGATGCAAAGGAGATTTACCAGGATGGTAAATTTATTTGGATTTATTTCATTATTTTGCACAAATGAGTACCCAAAACAATATTCTAATAAAATCCAGTATGGACGGAGCACCCTAGTCTGAGCAATACTCCTCCCCACCCTAGTTTAAGTGCCAGCCATGAAGATTTAATAATTTACATTTGCATTAGACCCTTTTGCTCTCTCTCCGGGAGAGTGGGATTGAATTGGATAGCTCTTTTCAAAGAACCAGTACAGATAAGATGGCCTCCTTCTGTGCTGTATGATTATATGATTCTATGATATCATTTGGAAAAGCCTATTTTTCCATTGGGCACGTATTTAGAATGAATCACTAAAATCAAATTCCACATGTCGAACACAAAAAAACTACATTTATTGAATGAGATTTATCTATGTATACAAAAGGAGAAACCAGACAAAAAATTTAGTTTCAAAATCATTTATTTTAAATAACCATGATTATTTTTATTACCACTCATACAAAAAGCACCATTAGATATAAACAATGTTCTGCTGTCACTTGCTAAACCCTAACAAAATAATTAATTCACAAATTAGTGTGACAGTAACTAAAATAAATCTAGAAATATCAGATATTCATTTGGTAAATTGGGACTCATTTTTTGACAAACATTTTAGCTTAAAAATCCATGGTCCAATAATTTTGTTGCATAAAGTTTGGTACTAACTGTAATGCTGAATGTGACTGTATGCTTTTAATTGAAAATGCATCAATGTTCATTTGGATTGAAAAAGATTTTTAAATATCGTGGACGAAGGTTTTGGCTGCGTTTGGGACAATGTACATTAATTCTTCCCCCCCCCCACATCCCAATAATAACACCCTCATGCAGTTTTTCTTTAAAATGTAGAGAAGTCAACAACAACAACTTGCATTTATATAGTGCCTTTCACTCAAGGTAGTATTTCAGAGTCAAAAATGATATAACCGTGCAAAATGATATTTGAAATGTAAATACATAGTTTACCAGAGCAAAGGGTGAAAATGTACATTAATCCAGCATAAGTTATTTGATGAAATATTATGGAAATTATTCAAAAGTAGTCCTAGTGCAATGAGGAAAATAGTATGTGTAACTATGCAAATATCATCAAAAAAAACAATCACTACACACAACTTATTCAAGGTTTTCAAAAAAAATTCTTAAACGATTTTAACTATCTTCTCCCATTCTCACTTTTTTGTGTTACAACACATTTCCTTGCCAATGTTGATCTTACAGTTGAATTAATTCCGTTATGCAAAATAAACCTGTAAAAAAAACACCTAAGGGAGTCTGCCTCAGTTCCAGGACATCAATATTAGTGACCATTCACAGATGCAAACAGAGTCTCATAAATCAAGTTAAGTGAAAATACAAGGCTTTTATTAGTAGAATGGTCACACCATACTGACAGACACTTAAAATGCAGCAGGCTCATTTACTAATGGAACCAAGTTGGATAATGAACCCACTTGTAAATTGTTGCAATTCCCCAGAAACATATTTGGTTGTTTTATAAACCCAATTAAACAATTTGCTTAAATAGCCTTTTTTTGTAACCTTTTCCATAGGTCTAAAAATTATTGCGTACCAACACAAACATCACCCTCCCAAGGTCATATCCTTTCTATGCAATAGTGAGGATATCTATGATTTTATAACTGCGTTGCCTACTGCATCTCAATATAAAACCAGTTCACCATGTCTTCTCTCCACTGATCTTGTTTGTCTGCTAATCTTTTCAACCTTTCATTCACATCTACTCACCTGCATCATGTAGAACTTGTGAACATTTAAAGAAAAGAATAGAGCTCTGTAGCTTCACTTCTGGAACCTGGGCTAAATTCCAGGCCAACTACTGAAATGTAGGGCTCCTCTCTGCTGAATGAAATAAACATATCAAAAATCATCTTAGGCCGTTTTAGTCCATTTATAGCAAGAGTGTGTATTGTATACAGCACAAAACTGTCTCTAATTTGGCCCAGTGATGTAAAATGTAGGTTGTGTTAACCATGTGCAAACCGTTATACAATGACTGGCAGGTGCCCTTAATTATGTAATCAACAACAAATGAAAGGTTAAAATTGATTCTCGATTCCTTTTAGTTGGTTAACCACATAATGAATAGCACTTGTACTCCTTTATGAGCGCTTGCATTCACCCATGGTTTACACAATGTGCAAATTAGACCCAGTGGTTAACACAACTTGAAAATGAGATTGGGTATCTGGGGTAGCAAAGATGAAAATGTTACATTGATGATGCAGTGCTACACATTTCGGGTTGAGATTAAGGCACTCTGGAGGGGCAGAGGAAAGGGATCTCCTTCCCTGCATTGAGCTGTGCTATACATGACCTAGAAGTGTTAGAAGCTGACACTGATGAAAATGGGAAAACTTCCATTTTCCAACTCTAGAATCCTTCACCACAACCAGCACATTTAAAAAAAAGACAGGCGCCTTCTCAATACCATATTTATCAGAAGGGTAATTCATGACAGTGCACTTGTAACTGTTGTTCAGGTCTTAGTCAGACCTGCTCACTCCATAGGTGCTATTTCTAAATTTCCTTTGTATGCATTATAGTTATTCAGTTGTCAAACTAATATGAGAGAACAAACTAGTCACAGATTCACTCTCGATATGAATATGGGGTTTAAGGGCCCATTTGATTTTCTGAATTTATAACCCTGCTGGTTTTATTCACATTGTCATGCACATGTTTCCATTAGTAATCCCAAACATTAGGAACAAAGGTGATATCCAGTACAGTTGGTTTTTCATAATAAACAATCGCCTATCATATGTTGGTGTAGGTCGGAGAAAGTGAATGGTTCACATGACAGAATAACAGCATCAACGTAAACAACGTTGATGAATAACAGCATCAACGTCAGGCTGGTTAAACACTCTAGAGAGCTGTGCTTCCTTCTGTGATGATGTGGCATTATGAGCTCATAATTTCTAAAATTAGTTCCAGGTAAGGACCAGATATACTAAAATAGTTAAATGGCTACATACATCTGAATTGCTTTTACTCAACACACAAACCAATTTTCAAAGCCCATTGCCATAACAAAATATGTCAATTGTGCTCCAGTAAAATTCTGTTCTGTGAAAGATGTTACCCCACCAGGTAGATTACATAACTAGAATAGACTGCATGTATTTACTCTGGTTTATCGAGTGCCTCACATCTCAGATGGTTCTTCCAATTCTTATTTTCAACAAACTATATCAAAAGATAAACTCCTGATAACTCGTCACTCTGGGAAAAAGGGCTCAGTGCTAAGTTATCAGGAGTCGCAAATACAAATATGCGTGAATGAAACCCCCTTGCTGGAATACAAGACTGTGAGAGTTCATGGCCAGGTAATATGTTGAATCTTTTTCTTTGGCCCTGGAGATGTTGGCTCCTCCTGCAGGCAAAAATAAAACAATTATTTGCATTAAAACATTCAATGAAACTTGTAGACATCATTGTGTATATTTGTGTACGGGATAGTGATAGTTTAGTATCAAGACATTTTTCATTTAAGATTCAGATTAAATTACGATTTAAAATAGATGGTACATGACAGAAACTGGCCTATCGGCCCAACGAGTCCCAATTGTGCTGACATTTTAATAAGATGGAATTTCAACTGAAAGTTACACATTTGAAATATCATGCTTCCCTTTATCGCAATGTCTCTACTTCCATCACATCTGCTCTGATAACTGCATTTTCTGCACTAGAACACATATGAGCTTCTTTCATATGTGATCAAGGCCCTTGATCATATTCATTATGTTTCTCATACAACCACTTACTGTCCCTCAAACTCACAAAATAGAGCCTCATGTCCTCACCTCCCACTAGCTTCAAACCATCAGATCACCATCTGCCATTTCTGTAATCTGGATGCTTTCACAATTTTGTGAAGGTCTGACATCAATGTTCGCTCTTCCATAATAACAAAAATCAACTGATCCTCCCTAGATACCTTCTGCAACTGCAAGAAGTGCAACCCTTAACCCTTTATTCCTGCTGTCTGCATCCCCATTCTTTCTTTCATGGTGGATTATTTAAATTGTGTTCTCTTCTCACAGTGAAGTCTCTTCTACATTAAGAGTCAAAGCAGATACTGGGAAACTACTTTGCAATATCACCCTGATCTCCCACTCTCATTTTCACTTTGATCTTCCTTCAGATGAGATGTTAAGTAGCAATCCCATCTGCCTGTTCAGGTGGACATTAAGAATGACACGATTCAAAAAGAGGAGGGAGATTCTCCCAGTGTCCTGGCTCATAACCACCCAAATAAAATTGGTTATTCATGGTTGTTTGTGGTTCATTGCTGTTCATAAATTTGTTGCCATATTCCGTGATTACAGAATATAGTCACTAAACACCAGTATTCCATGAAGCACATTGGGATATCCTCCCGACGTGAAAGGTACTATAATTAAATGAAATATTATTATTGTATTCCTATCTTGGTTTTCTAAGCTGCCCCAGAAAATTTTAACGCAAACAACATGATCTTTTCTCAGTTTCCTTTCAGAAGAAGGGAAAAGGACAAGATAAATGCTATTTTGTTATCTTGTCTTTCTTTTGGTGCAGATTCACTCAGTGTAATGTTGGCTTTCTTAGTCTGTTCCAGGGGTTTCCCGGCAACTTCTGTTCTGCGGTATTTTGTGTTTTGTTTATATTCAGATAAGGTCCGCTTACCTCATTCATTGATCTTATGAATATCCAGATGTTCCAAATCACCTTTTCTCTCTGCTCCTTCACTTTCCTTTTTTTCTTGGCTTTCATCTCACCTCTGTGTGTGTATGTTGTTTACAAAGAATGTACAGTGCAGAAAAAGGCGATTTGGCCTAACCAGTCCGTCCAGTGTTTAAACTCCACGAGTCACAACCTACTTATTACTCCTATACTCACTCCCCTTCTCTAGCTCACTGAATGTTATGGAATCCGATCTCTTCACCAATCCCTCTCTTGATTAAAACAAAACAGATAACTTAATAAGTATATTTTATACAGCATCTGTGATAACATAGTTCAGTGCCAATGAAATAACAAGATTTTGATCAATACTTGATTAAACAATGATTTCTATGGATGGATGAATTTCCTGTTGAGTTGAACTCCACTTTGGAAAGACTCCGCTAGAGAAGAGTGCATGTTCCCAGCAACCAATGGTGGTTGATGCAGTTTGAAGAAAATGGCTTCAAACTATTTGGACAATTCTTGGTTTATGCTGTAAAAGACCTCCTCTATCCAATATGTTGTAGTTTTTATAATGGAGCATTATGTTAATCTAACTTTTGCTATCAGATGCTGATTGATTTACACTTGATTTCTAACTATTATTTTTTTCCTTAATTGGCATCAATACCAAGAGTTGTTTCTGACCTCATTCCCTTGACTTTCCCCAGTTATTTTTTCCAACTGATGAGTCTGTCTCTTATGCATTGAAATTCTTTCCTTAGCAGGTTACCTTCTTGGAAGCTTTGCCCAATGTCAGAGGAGTCTATGATGGTCAGGCTCAGATCGTACGAAGCCTTTTCACACAAGGTCCGTTCAGATGACTAAGGCCATTCAGACCATTTATATCTCATCTTGGTCATAAATCTGATCAACATGCTGACCAATACTCGATTAAACAATGATTTCTATGGATGGATGAATTTTCTGTGTCTTGAACTCCACCCTGAACAATGTGGAGTACTCATCTTGCAAGCGAGAGGACCTGGGTTCGATTCCTGGACAGGACAAAACGTTGGGCAAGTTTCCTTACTCCACACCCCTCTGTTTACCCAGCAATAAATAGGAACCCGGCCGTTAAAAAAAAAAAAAATTTGGTCACTCAATCCACGACTGTTTGTGGGACACTGTTGTGTGCAATTGCCTGCTGCGTTTCGCAGTTTTACAGCATATACTGTGAAGCGCTTTGAGATGTCTTGAAGACATGTTAAAGCGCAAATGCAAGGATTGTTATTATTAACAAAATAAACTTTGTTATCTTAATGTCTACAAATGTTTCTGAACACCCAAAGACAGGACTAAACCTTCTAGACTATCTGTCCCGGTATTTGTCTTATACAAAAATAAAATGAACGCCCATATCAAAATAATGATTTTGTTCACCGGATGTACGAAATTATAATGGCACGATTCTCATCTTATCTACTTATTGTTTTGCCTAATCCACTGTACAGTCTTCACTTTTCGACAATAAGTTACATTTATACAGTGCCTTTTTCTCCAAAAGAAACATATTGAAGTGCTCTTACAGGATGAAATTAATTACAAGTGGAAGTTATGTAGGAAAATATATTAGGTAATTTTTTCCAGCAACATCTTACGCATGGAACACCTCAGTGGCACAATAGCCAATTTGAGCTTTGGGCGAATATTGAGGATGAAGTCCGGATAACTAGAAGAAAAACTCCACACATTTTCCACCTGAAACAATATGTAGGACAGCTAACAACCATCTATTCATAGATGTTCAGGCACTAAAACATAGATGAGCTAGGTTACTGTCCTAGAAACATTTGGCTCTCTGCCATTTCATATTTCATTCCTTACTTAGATTTGTCAAAAATAAATTTGGGTCAACTGGGTGACTGTCATGCACAGAAACCCATGCTTAAGAGAATCCAAACATGACAACAGTTCCACACATGCATTTATATAGCATCTTTCACTTCAGAAGGATGTCCCAAAGTGTTCAACAATACTGGCTGGGGACCTGAGGGTGGTTGGGAGGGGAAAGAACTACCTTTCTAATCAGATTTCTCCATTCTACTGTCGCTGCCTCCGCTCAGCTGGCTCTGGCCTCCAGTTTGTCCCCTCTGCTCCACCATCGGTGGCCGCGGTTTCAGGCATTATGCCCCAAAGATTTGGAACTCTCCCCAAATCCATCTGCCTTGTCCCCTCCTTCCCCTCTTTTAGATCATGACTGAAGACCTTTCTCTTTGATCACGCTTATGGTCACCTCCTTTCTCCTCGGCATCAGGCTCTGCACTGTTAAGCGCTCCGAGACGCTGCCCCATGTGAAGGGCACTATATAAATGTAAGTTACTAAAAGATAATCGAAAGTGCAGTGAAAAAGGCAGGTCTTGAGACAGAGCTTGAAGGAGAGAGTGAGTGGGATGGACTCTGGAATCGAGTTCCAGAGAGTGGGGTCAGAAAGGTTGAACTAGGGCAGGGAACATGCAAGCCTGTGCTCGTTGAGTGAAATGAGTGGCTAGATCTATGCTACCCACATATGGAAATTTCCTATTGTCTGGAGTGGTTTTGAACATGGTAGGAAATCACAGAATTAGGGAGGTGCTAGGGTAAATAGGGTGCTATTTATATCATAGAAGCCAATTCATTGGGAGCCAGGCAAGCACTGAGGGCTGGACACGCAAACAGGAATTCGGAATAGCTGACGTTTACGGGTGGTGTAAGTATAGAGACTGATGAAGAATGCATTTAAAAAAATCAGGTGGGAGATGACAAATGTGCGAGTGGCATTTGCTGTGAGATAGAGATATGCAATGCAGCAGAGGTGAAGAATAGGGGTTTTGATCAGGGACCGAATGTGATGAAGTAGAGACAAGGATCGAAGTGGATACCAAGGTTGTGCACTGGTTCAGATGGTAACATGGTAATTTCCGTCTTCTTGCTGGATCATATAAATTTTAAATTAACCTTAAAGAAAATAAACTTTAATGATGTAAATGAAATGTATTTGGACTTCTGGCACAGCTTTGTCCTTAAATTCGATATAGCAACTTTCGTGCCAGAAATAAATTTCAAAGTGCATCACGTTATTTTATTGTTAAGTGCAGTGATTGTGTATTTTGTAGGTGAATGCGGTAGCCAATTTGCGCAAGGAATGTCAGACAAACAGCCATGAAGTGAATGACCAATTATATCTAGAGATTGTTGGCCTCAATACTGGAAGAAACTCTATTCTCTTTTTGAATTGTGCCACGGGATCTTTAATGCCGACTTGAATAGGCAGATGAGACCTCAATTTAAAGTTTCATCACAAGGAATGTCAGACCACATTGTGATCACAAAATTCCCACATGGTGCTTGAACCCACAGCCTCCTGACTCAAGAGGTGAGAGTGTCAACAAGTAGGCCAGACTGACAATTTTTGAATACAATGTATTCAATACAATGAATAACAAATTTGTGGAACAAATTCATAGCACCCCATTATAAGTGCCAGAATAGAATAGTGATTTTTGCAAAAGATACATGGTTATCAATTACTTTCTTTTAAAAGAGTTTGTAATACTGTTATATAATCAGACAATGCCAAAGTGTGACATAATTTGACATAGATTTTGCAATGCTGAAATTCAGCTGCTGTTTGAAACAATAATTCCAAATGAACCAAGTTTTAAAACAATTTGCACTTTGATTCTAAAATAAACTTACACATTTCTGAATGGTATTAAAGTAAATTGTTGAAGCTCTCCTGTTCACGAAATATGCCTAATGATTCAATTCGATAACAACTTTTAAAAACGCGGTGGACGGGTATTTAAGTAGGACTGGTTTGCAGGGTTATGGGGAAAGGGCTGGGGAGTGGGATTGACATTAATTGCTCTATTCAAAGAAACGGCACAAACTCGATGGGCCGAATGGCCTCTTTTTGTGCCGTACGATTCTATGAAGTGCTACTGAGGTGGCAGATTTAATTCCTGTTCTTGCTGGATTTGCTGATCTCAAATCAGCAGAATAATAGGGACACAACAGTTCGTGATGAATTCAGATCAAGGAATAAAAAAAATCAGCCATGTATCACTTTGTATCAATAACCCATGGCCTCTGATTAAAAGTATACATGGATTGTGTCTGAAGGACATGATCAATACCCAGAGTAATTTTTTGAGACTCAATCTTTCGGCTCCCATATAAAGAATGGCTAATTAAATAAGGTATCAGAGGACTATAAGAATCCAGAAATACATAATCCAGCACAAAAGAGAAGGAAAGGGAGATGAATTAAACTTACCAAGGCACCATTAGAATTTTGGATTTTTTGGTAAGAAAATACTCAGGCCTAGAAAACAATTGTGGTATAAGCAAATCCGTTTTATAATGAAGCATGTTACAATGTCTCTATATATTAACAATTGATAGTTTTATGGCAGAAGGGAAATTTTAAATGCAACTGATTAAAATATGCTGCATCCAAATTCATCATGGCCAATTGTTGTGTCCCTACTATTCTCAGGATTTGAGATCAGCAAATCCAGCACAGAAAAGGAATTAATGATTATAATGTTATACAATCCCCTTCTCCAGGTTGGCTGCAAACCTTGGAATGTCCTCCATGAAGTGAATGGACCTACATAAATGTAAATTTGTATTGTAATTTGCATTGTACAACAATAGTTACAAACAGTGGTGAACTTTCCCAATTTTAAAACCTTTCTTCTACATGGTCATTTATGATGCCAATGAACGTTTGTCTAAAGCAGACCAGGGAACCTGACAACGCTAAAACTTTAAAGCTGTAAGAAAGTCATGTATTTTTTTGGTCCAAAAGTTGCGGCCACAATTTGTAAGTTGTGGTTTTGGTGGGGTCAGTTCAAGTTCAAATACCGAGTGAGTACATACTCCCAATGGACCATCCACCTGCCCATCAATCCATCCAGGACTGATTGGATTAATGGACATTTGGATGGTGCAATGGAAGCATGTACTCACTGTGGTCATTAAATGTTGCCTCAACTTTAAAACAACGCGGTGTGTGTTAAAAGTTGCAGTTTTCCCAAAATTACAGCCCACGATTTTCTTTCAGCCTTACAAATCTTCTATTCTAAAGGATACAAAATCAAAGGCAATTTAACAATGTTTAGCTCTTCTTCTACAACATTTAACAAATAAGTTAATAACGAATTGGGTAAGGAGGCTGTAGTTGTAATTTTATACTTGAAGGTAAATATAGTATTAACACTAGTTTCCATATCCCTTTCCTTAGCTTAGCAATAAATATAATCACTCAAATAAACAAACAAAAACTGTATACAATAACAATCATGTTTATTTGACCAAATGCACTAACTTTGAATCATTACAGCATTACTATTTACGAAGTAAGATTTGCAATTAGTAAATTCAATCTTTAACCTAGGCATTAAATTCTGTTCCATCCATATGATATATTACAACAGTTATATCTCAATTATACATGTGTAAAACCATATGGCTGCAATACTGTATGTGTCATTTTAGTCTCATTAAAAACGGTAAATTTTATAACTTACTGGTGGATCTCCCTCGCCATCTTTTCCAATTGCTCGCTTTAGTTTTATGACATTGGTTCCTCCAGGGGATGCTGAGGAAAGCAATGGTGAGGTTTTCAAAGGCATGTTGTCTTCATATTTCATGGTAGTGGTGCCGTTATTGGGTGTTGCACTGGATGGGCTTTTGACTGCATTATTATCAGTCAGAATTTGTGTGTCTCGGGGTGATTGAGCGAGTTTATCTTTTGTACTGGTGTTCATGATCCCTTTCATTTGATCACCCATTCCATTTTCATTCTTTTTGAGTTTTATATTTGTACTTGTTGAACTGCCATCAAACACAATTAGAGGTCTTTTCCTTGAACCGTCCATCAATGATCTGCAAAAGAATTGATACAACAAACTATGAGATGAATGCTGTAGGAAAACGGTCAAATTTTTAAAGTCAGTATTATTCCGTCTACTCCATGAGAACAATGGAAACGTATACAGATACCAACCTTCAGATCATATTTAGTAAATATTGTACTGAGATTGTTATCTGTATACGCTTCCAATAATAATAACCCAGTCGCAGAGTACAATGGATATCTATTTTAAAAAAAGTATAAACGTGAATAAAAAAATGTTATGACATTGGATAGATGTAAATGCTGCTGACTTCCTTCCAATGTACAAATGTGTTATAGCAATAAAAGTATAACAGTACTGCATATGATAGTTAGATGACAACAAAACAAATTATCTTAAATTTTTCTGAGGAAAACTCAGCGTTTTTTTATAAACACAGTAAATAGTGAACCGCAAGAATTTAATACTGCACAAAGATAACAAGAATCCTTGCATTTGACATCCTTGAGATGTCTCAAAGGGCTTAGAATATGATTATTCAGTAATGTACCTCTTCAAAGATGTTTTAACAAAAGTTATACAATTGAAGATCAAATGTTGTTACCAAAACTGTGATAAACTTTCACTGAATTGGTAGATCATTGAAAAAAAATTAATTATCCGTGGATATTATCAGTGATTCCATGCAAGTTCACTTTCCTTTGTGTATTCTGTAAGTTTCAGAGACCTGCTAGATATGGACTGGAGCTTACTAGTAAACTGATGGAAGGAAAATCTGGAATTTTTCCAAGCTTGTACTTGACAGGTTGTGTACTTGATAGCTGACTATGTGTTAGAAAAGCACTACAGTAATTCAATTGAATGTTTCCATTGATTGCAGAAATGAAACACTAATTATCACATTATTCACCAAGCAAATAACAGAATGGGCATTAATCAATGCAAGTAAACAATGCTTACGCAAGTACTAAGAATGCTAACTCTGAGTAATGGCACCAAACATCTTATTAATGATTATTTTAAGCACAGAAATCACCTCCCCAAATACAGAAAACATATATTAAACATGACAAATCTTATCCACAATGGATTAGCAAGATCTATCAACTTGAAGCAAACACATAGCAATAGAGTCGTTAAAATTCATTAATGAACTGTTAAAATTTGTCCTCATAATACATGCCTTTTACTCTGTGTGGTAGAGCCAGTTTGCTGTCCTCTTTTTTCACTCATCATTCTTCCCCATCTATTCTTGGGCAGTTCCCTTTGGGGTAGTGGAATAACATGTTGAATGTAGACTTCAACAATCCGATCTTTCTCAGCATCCTTCAGGCTCTCAATTGCTATGTTCCTCTGCAGAAACACAAAAGAATCAAAATAAGAACAACATTGAACCTGTTGCTGGGTAGGATTGAAAGGAAAATTAACTTATAAAAAAGTGACAGGCCACAACTGAATCATCAATATGGGATTTTAAAGATTAGCATTGGTACCAAACTTCACTTTCTTAGTGTTCTGCACTGAAGACATTTTCCACTTTATATAGATTGAAGGTATATCTACTTATTGCAATACAGGATCTTGTGGCACTAGTTCACAGCTCTGCAATTGGATGGGGATAGTTGCTGTAATTTTCAATTATTGCAGCAGCTTTAAAATGCAGATCTGGAAAATAAACATTCCTCTATTGAATAGTTTATAGCTGTCATGAGTTCAAATATCGAGGGCAGTGAAATTGCAATTTCCCGAATGGCTTGTTCTCAATATTCCACCTGGAATACACCCACTTACCTCTCCTCGTGGAGGATAATTATGAGAAGGTTATATAAAAAAGACAGCCTCTCCAGTTTTAAATTTAGCGAAGTTGGAAGCCATCAAATCCTATGTATTTTACATTTATTAAGTTTCAGAATGTATAATTATTTGGAGGGGTGGGGAGGATTGAGTGAATTTAATCTATAAAAACAAATACTAGATAGAAAATGTATTATATCATTCAATATTCAAACACTAATTTAAATTTTCCAGATCAAAAAATCCAAATGAATTATTTTCAAAATTGCAGAAAAAAGTTTTAAAAAACTGTCAAATTAATAGACAAATTGAATATAAATGTGGAGTCCTGTGTGGAGTCCTGTAGCTCAGTGGTAAGAGCACTCGCCTTGCAAGCAAGACACCTGGGTTCAATTCCAGGCAGACAGGCAGGGAGAAACCTTGGGCAAGTTTCCTTACGCCACACGCCTAATCCCTCCAAAAAAAAACAATAATAAACTGGTCATTTTCAATCCACGACTGTTTGTGGGACACTGCTGTGCGCAATTGGCTGCCGCGTTTCGCCCACAAGTATACAGTCAATTCACTTTACAGTCTATTCTGTGAAGCGCTTTGAGACGTTTAGAAGACGTGAAAAGCTCTATCAAATGCAAGGATTATTATTATTATAAATATAATCAACTAGGGTTTTAATATCATAGGCATCTGGGAGGGGTTTCTATCAAATGAAATGTTAAAAGCCTTTCTGGAATTTTCTAAGTATAGAAAAGTAGATTTCAAGAATTGTACTGGTTTTAATTAATAACATGTTTGACTAAAGAAAGCAATTAGATGTCAATTTGGTGCAGAAATGCCAAATGGTCCTCGGAGTTACTATTTTGGAAAGTGTCAGGATTGTGCATAGGGAATAGTTCCGTGCTTCCATAAAGGTTTTGGGTAATAGGCAGAAAGGAGCAGATAAACTTATTATCAGAGGAAAGTTGCTCATCCGAAAAATGGACCTTGAGCTCATTATTTAAAGGAATCCCCTAAAAATTGTCCACCCACAAAATACAGTCTGTTCCATTCACAGTATAACATGTGAAGCACTTTGAGATATATCCTCCCAATATGAAATGCGCTATATGAAATGTAATGATTATCATATTTACACATCTCCCAATGCTGAATAATAAAAACATAAAAACTAAGAGTGAAGAATTTAGAAGCGATTGAAAGTACAATCTAAGATATATTTAGCGCCTTTCCAAAAGGAAGAAAATTGTAGTTAGTCAGAGATTTTCAAATGATAAGGGTGGGATAGCTAGATACTTGACTTCCAATAGAAGTTAACAAGAAGTTAACCATAGTGAAGAGCAAAGGATAGACTGAAAATTTGCAGATAAGGTAGAATAGGTTCTAGCAGGAACTTGAAAATTATACATTAAGGGGCAAGCCTTGATGCCCCTTTATACATACAAAGAAAGGGATAACCCATGCAGAAATTACTGTGAAGAACTTAGAAATGTTCCTATATTACTTATGGGAATATTTCAAAGCTTTTCACAGTAATTACTGTGAAGTATACATTACAAGAATTATTATTATTCATAGTTAAAGATATACTTTACAGAGAATTTTTAATTCAATAAATAGCAAATCAATGATTTTGGTAAGAGATTTCTAGAGCGCAAACTGGCCACTGATAGCAATAGAACAAGCAATTGATCTGAAGAATTGACCTTATGTGCTTGAATGTAGAGCTGGAGAAGAATGCACAAGAAGAATAGAGCAAGACCACAGACGAACCTGATAGCCAGGATAAAGATCATAAAACTCAATCTGAAAAGTCAGCTGCCTCACCCAACTAATGCAATCTTCCACAGACCTACTTTCCAATCTGTTCCCTTTGATTTGCCAACTCTGGATTAATGCTTGCCCCTCACTCCGCCACTTTGTCCCTGCCTTCTTCACCTCTGCTCTCCCTACACCTGGCTTCAAAATTTCTGCCCCCAAAATATCACTCCCACTTATGTCTTTGGTCAACATTTTGGTCAACATCTTTAGATCCATTTTCTTGCTGGGTGGACACTGTATCTATCAAAAAATTTGAAGCAGTCCTTTACAATGTAGGGAGCAATAAACACAAGTCATTTTGAGGATGAGGTAAAGCATGCGTGAAGCCTCAACAAAATTTTTTTACATTTGTTCAGCGCCTCTCACGTCGGGGACGTCCCTAGGCGCTGGACAATCAGTGTTTCGGACCCAAGCTGGGTCTCAGGATTGGGGAGGGTTGAAAGGAGGGAGACCAAAGGTACAATTGAAGAGGAGGGTCTTGAGACAGGTCTTGATGGAGGCAAGGGAGGGGGGCGAGGCGGAGGGACTGCGGGGCAGAGTTCCAGAGGGTGGGGACAGAGTGGCTGAATGCCCACTCACCAATGGTGGGCGTGCGAGGCGGGGAATGTGGAGCCAGCTGGAGCCCACTGAGCACATGGAGCGGGTACGTTGGTAGGGGTTTAGGAGGTCCAGAGAGGTAGGGGGGAGCAAGGCCATGGAGGGCTTTGAAGGTGACGACTAGGATCTTGAGCTGTATCTTTTGTGTGACGGGAAGCCAGTGGGGTCAGGCAAAGATGGGGGTGATAAGGTCGTGGAGCCTGGTGCGGGAGAGGACACTGGCTTCAGAGTTATAGATGTTCTGCAGCCTATGGAGAGAGAAGTTGGGGAGGCCGATAAGTATGGAGTTCACGTAGTTGAGCCTGGATGTCATGAATGCATGTATGAGGATTTTGGTGGCCTGCAGTGTGAGACAGTGGCAGAGCGGGTGATGTTGCAGATGTGGGGGAAGGCAGAGCAGGTCATAATAACAATAATAATAATCCTTGCATTTGATATAGCGCTTTTCACGTCTTCTCGATGTCTCAAAGTGCTTCACAGAAGACTGTAAAGTGAATTGATCCTATTTTTTTATGGGTGAAACGCGGCAGCCAATTGTGCACAGTAGTGTCCCACAAACAGTCATGGATTGAAAATAACCAATTTATTATTGTTTTGTCTTGGAGGGATTATTATTAGGTGTGTGGAGTAAGGAAACTTGCCCAAGGTTTCGCCCTGACCTGCCTGGAATTGAACCCAGGTGTCTCGCTTGCAAAGCGAGTGCTCTAACCACTGAGCTACAGGACTCCATAAGTCATGGCTTGGATGTGAGGTAGAAGGGTAGTTGAGGTTTGAACAAGACGTCAAGGTTCCGGACCGGCTCAGTGAGGTGGAGTGTGCATCTTTGGATGTTGATACTGTTGGTGCCTGAGGTGTGGAGGCGCTGACACGAACCAATCAGGAGGGCCTCAGTCTTGTTGACGTTCAACTGTAAAAAGTTAGCTTTCATCCAGGACCACATGAGTTGGTGCAGGGGTTTGAGGAGAAGCCGTTTGTGGAGATGAAATGGAGACAGTGTAAGAGGTAGGATTTGAATCACTCAAAGACAGAACCATGAAGGTTGAAATGAGAGAAGAGGTGGTGGTGGAGGATAGTCTTGAGAGAACAAGAGACATCGGCCTGCCTATGTGTCACCCACAAAATATACAGTCAATTTGCTTTACAATATATTCTGTGACGCAGTTTGAAGATTCTCCCAAGACATGATAAGGCACTACATCAAATCAAGGATTATTATTATTTATATCATTATTATGGAGTCCTGTAACTCAATGGTTAGAGCACTCGCCTCTCAAGCGAGAGACCTGGGTCCAATTTCCAGCAGTGAGAAGTGTTGGGCAAGTTTCCTTACTCCACACGCCTGTTTACCGAGCAGTAAGTAGGAACCCGGTTGTTAGTCAATTGGGAGATCACTTTTCCAGGGGTAATAATTCCTTCACAAAAAAAAAAATTTGGTCACTTCAATCCACGACTGTTTGTGGGACACTGCTGTGCTCAATTGGCTGCCACTTTTCACCCACGAAATATACAGTCAATTCACTCTACAGTGAATCCTGGGAAGCGCTTTGAGACATTCGGACGACATGATAAGGCGCTATATCAAAAGCAAGTCTTACTGCCAGCCGCAGAGTCGTCTGTAGAGCCACAAGCTCCAGGACTCACCAACAACTTGCATTTATATTGCGCTCCTCACGCAGGGCGGCCTCCCAGAGCGCTGCCAACCTCACTAGCACCAACCCGCGCGGCTTCACTCCTCGGCAACTAAAGCCCCGGACAATAACTGCCCTGTTTCCGGGCGCTGACCTGCTGCAGCAGTTGGAGGATGAAAGGGCCGGACAGGAGCTCCGGGTGCAGGAGCAGCAGCTCCGCCTCGATAGCGATCTTCACTCCGTCTCCACCAACCGCCATCTTCCAAACCTTCGTCCCGTAGTGCGCCGCGAGCCGGGGGCACGTGATCCGCGTCTGACCAATCGGAGGCCGCAGACCGGCCCCGGCTCGGCGCCACGTGACTACAGCCCGGCCAATCGGAGGCCGCGGATATGATGCTCGAGCGCCCGATGACGCAGTCACTTAACGGGGGACAGGTAGAGAGGGTGACGTCGCACGGCGCTGGAAAGGGTCATGACGCAAAATGCAATCAAACTCACGGGGAGGGGGGATGGATAAGGAGGAATTGTTGTAAACAGGAATTTAAATCCCTCCCCCCCTCACCGACAGGTCGCAAACCGTCGCTGGTTGCGACTCGAAGTGCTACCTAATGGCTTAAAGTCACGTGGCGCAAGATGCCGGTCGTTATCACGTGACCGGAAGTACATTTAGGAGAGCGCCGGATGTGGCGGTGGACGGGACGAGCCGTCAGGTGCGGGGTTAGAACTGGGAGCTGTTGGTAAGAGAGTGAGCAATGGATGTGCGCGGTTCAGTTCAGCGGTGATAGCGGGTCGATGGGGACTTTCAAGGCGCCGTTAATTCTCAGCCGAGTCCTTGTGTTGTGTTGAATGGGTTAAAGGGTCACTGCCCTTTGCAGGTGGTTCACTCTGAGGATTCAGTTTAATGATGAATGCTCGTTCAGACGTGATATTTCACGCACGTCCTCATATTATTCACTTGGTCAATTATCTTTTTGCCAAGAAGTAGGAAGTGATGTTTATGGAAGGATCTGTGTTAGAAGCCCTCTACTGTTCACCGTCTAAGTAAATAATTTTGGACTCTGTCATTAAAGGTACAGTTGAAGTCTGCAGTTGATATCAAACTGGTGGGGATGGTGAGAATGTGGAAATGACTGCCAGAAGCTGTGGGTGAAGCATAAAGCATCAATTAATTCATTGAGAAGCAACCTGGTGCATAGTTGATGTAAAAAGAAATGGAGGAGTATGGTGGATGGGGTTCGGTGAGGTGGAGCCTCATGTGGAGTATGAGCCTCTACCATACCATACTAGGTCGGCTGAATGGCCGGTTTATGTGCTATAATGTTCTATTTGATTGTATGTATTACTTTGGTGATGTACAGATCTTTATTTGCATTGAGTTAAATAGGAGCAACAAGGTAAATTGCACTGAAGGGACATGTGAAGGGATGTAGTTCAGATACTAGCTTGTTCTATTTTTTCCTGGGGTCAGGGAGAACGTTTGCAAGTGCATATAAATACAGTTCTTGGATTAGTCGAAATCTGAAATAAAACCAGAGCTTGCTTGAAAGAGGTCATAGGTATTTTTTTGGGGGGGTGGGGGTGAACTTTCATCATGAATTCTGAGAAGAGGCCACACCTGAAATATTAAACCCATCTTTCAGATATTAATCATGTATTTCTAATTTTGGTTGTTTCACAGGTGGGTTGGGGAAAGTGCACAATAAAGTAGATTCTCCCCAGCTCCACCATCCACAAAATCTAGCTGATCTAAAACTCCGCCGCCCACATACTCACCCATACTAAACTCTGAAGCTGATTCACATCAGTTCTCGCCAGGCTCCACTGGCTCCCTATCGCCAAACTAATCGATTTTGAGATCCTCACACTCAATTTCAAATCCCTTCGTGCCCTGGTGCCTGCCTATCTCTCCCGATCTGGTTATTCCCCAACTACCTACCTGCTGCCTCCGTTCGACTGGCTCCAGCATCCTGTATGTCCCTTGTGCCCCCCGTTTCACCATCGGTGGCCACGCTTTCAGCTACTACGTCTCAAAGCTCTGGAGTTCTCTTCCTCTATCCTGCCGCCTTGCTCCTTCCTTTCCCTTGTTCAGATCGTGCCTGAAGATCCTCCTCTTTGACCAACAAAAATAAATTATATTTGTACAGTGCCTTTCACATTAGGAGGATGTCCCAAGGCGCTGACCATGCCTAGGGTCACCTCCCCTCGGCTCAACGTCATTCTCCGCCATGGTCAAGCGCTCTGGGATGCTACCCTGAATGAGGGGCGCTAAATAAATACAAGCTGTTGGTGTTATTATGTCTAACTAAATTGCAATGGCAGTGAAGAGCACAGGTCAGATGTATCCATTATATCTATTTAAAATCAATATTGTGCTTAACTTGTATCCTTAATAATAATAATAATCCTTGCATTTGATATAGCGCTTTTCACGTCGGGAGGACGTCCCAAAGCGCTTCACAGAACACACTGTAAAGTGAATTAACTGTATATTTGTGGGCGAACGCGGCAGCCAACTGCGCACAGCAATGTCCCACAAACAGTCGTAGATTGAAAATGACCAATTTATTATTGTTTTTTGTTTTGGAGGGATTATTATTAGGCTCTGTGTGGAGTAAGGAAACTTGCCCAAGGTTTCGCCCTGCCTGGAATTGAACTCGGGTCTCTCGCTGTTAACATGTTATCCTTATAACATGTTAATCTAACTAAAATGCTTTGCCTTGAATCTTCATTTACATTTGGAAAAATCTCTGAAGTAGATTGATTTGCATAGCATAGCATATCCAGATTTATGTAGCTTGTACAGTCTTTAAACAGGCCATTCGGCCAACTAGTGTGTGCTGTGAATCGTGGTTGTAGGGATGTAGTTCCCATTTGCTTGTCTCTTCCTGTAATTGTGTACAGTACCCAAAACAGTACCCGTTGCCTTCGTTCCTCTGGGTCTAGCCTCCTCCTCATCCCCGAGTCCTCCGCTCCACCCTCGGCGGCCGTGCCTTCAGCCACTATGCCCCGAGGCTCTGGAACGGCCTTCCTCACTACCTTCATCTCGCTCCCTCCCTTCCCATTTTCATGTCTCTGCTGAAGGCCTTTCTTTTCGACCGCGCCTTTGGTTACCTTCCTCCCCCTCCCCCTGGCTCGGTCCTGGGATCCGTTACTGTAAAGCGCTCTGAGACGCCGTCCGGCGTGGAGGGCGCTATATAAATCCAAGTTGTTGTTGTGTGCATTCTCTATAAATAAGTACCTGATAGCTGGAGATTATTTGTGTTGAGATGTACACTATTTCAATGAAGAGTGGTGATCTTATGGAACCAATTTCTCATGAGCATTGAGGGAAATGAACATTTTCTTTCTAAAATATTGTTTCCATAGCATTCAAATATTTGTGTGTTTTCTTCTTTCATTCTTTTTAGATGATTGAGAAGACACAATGAGCATAAAGGCATTTGAACTTGTTCCCGCACTTGAGCGGACCCTGCTGATAGGAGACAAAACTTGGATTAACATTGAGTGTATTGAATGCTGTGGGAGGAATCTTTATGTGGGAACAAATGAATGTTATATCTACCACTTCCTATTAGAAGAGAAGACATCCACCTCAGGGAAACTAACCTTTATTGCAACAAAACAGCTGCACAAATATCTTGGCCTAAAGAAGCCTGTAAATGAAATAAAGGCAGCATCGGCATTGAACAGGCTAATGGTTCTATGTGACTGTTCTGTGAATTTATTGAACATGATCAATCTGGAGCCAGTACCAACAGGAGCTAAAATTAAAGGAGTAGTTGCATTCACTGTAAATGAAAACCCAGTGACAGCAGATCCTTTCTGTGTTGAAGTGTGCACCATTTCAATGAAGAGGAAAACCATACAGATTTATGCAGTGCATGAGGACCGTGTGCAGCTCATAAAAGAGGTCTCCACACCAGAACAGCCTGTTGCTTTAGCTGCAGATGGATACTTCATTTGCTTAGCACTGAGCACACAATACATTATCTTGAGCTACAACACTGGAGTTTCACAAGATCTATTTCCTTACAATAGTGAGGAAAAACAACCAATTGTAAAACGGATTGGACGAGAGGAGTTTCTGCTAGCTGGTCCAGGGGCATTGGGTAAGTTGTTCAGTTATTTGGTTGTATGCAACCTGTTATTTGATGTATATATTGAGGTATAATCCCTTTTTACAATTTTCTCTTTTAATTCTTTAGATCATTCAATTGGCAGGGCTGCTAAGTGTAGGGAAGGTGAAATTCTCTATCTCCAAGGCTGAGGTGGAAGTGTTACTGTGGGAAAACCCACTATGAACCAATTCTGCCATCTCTCTCCTGGCATTCATGTTAAGATTTTCTGTGCAATTTATTTTCATTAAGAATGTGTGGAAATACCTCTTGGGCTGTTGAAATGTGATCAATGAGTGAGTTAATTTTATAATGTATCCATTGAATCGGTTCAATCTTAAGGAATTTATTGTGTCATCTGAAGTACTGTAGAGGCCTCTGGACTTAACTGCATGTGATAAGAGGATGAGGAACATTTAATTAGTGCATTGACCTCTTTTGTATTCCAGTTCAACACGTTAAATACAATTTAACGACTTACAAATTAGCTATAAGTAAGCTTAGGAAATGTTGAATGTGTTTAAATTTGGTTTCCAAATAGGTATTCTGTACACTTAGACTATTTTTCTCCACTCTCTCTCTCTCTCTACCCCCTCCACCCCTCCCACCAAACCATAAAATCGTCATGATGTGCTTGGGAATCCGTAGCGTAGTGGTTAGTGCACTTGCCTTGCAAGAGAGAGGACCCAGGTTCGATTCCTGGGCGGGGCAGAATTGTAGGCAAGTTTCCTTACTCCACACACCTCTGTTTACCTAGGATTAAGTAGGAACCCGTATGTTAGTTGATTGGCAGATCGCTTTCTGGGAGTAATCAACATAAATAAAAATAATAATTTGGCCATTCAATCCATGACTGTTTGTTTGCAATTGGCTGCAGAGTTTCACCCATAAAATATACAGTCAATTCACTTTACAGTATATTCTGTGAAGTCCTTTGAGACATCTTGAAGACGAGATGAGATGCTATATCAAATACCAGGATTATTATTATTACCCCCCACACCGTCTCTATTTCTATCATACTTGTACAGAAGACCTGGACAAATAAGGAATTATCCAAGTAGAGAAGTGAGTTCAACTATACAGTTGAAACTAAAATAACTGACTCATTTAATGTGTCACAACCAAGGGTCAAACAGGTTGGCTTTTGCAATGCAAATATCATGAGCCCTTCTATTTTAGTGTAGTATCAAATTATTTTTCTCAATTTAAAGAAAGCTATAGGTTTTGTTTGAGTTAGTTGACTGTTTACCAATGGGCCCCAGTAAATGCAGTCATTTAAATTGTTCAAAGAGCAACACCAGACAATGTTCTGACATATCAGCATGTTTGAAGGAATGTTCTTCCCACAGCTTAACTGTGCTTTGACGAACTACCGGTTGATCTAACTGGTACATAATAAAACCTAATATATGAATGTTTTTAATGAACCAGAAAAAGCAAGAAATTGTTGAAAAGTAGCTCCACCAGAGTACAATCATTAAAAAGTATTATCCTAGCTGGTTTAGTAATGAGCACTAAATACACATTAATTATTTTGCCCGCAAAATACAGTCAAACCACTTTACAGTATATCCTGCAAAGTGCTTTGAGATTTCTCAATGACGTGATAAGGCGCTATAAGATGCTATAAGTATTATTATTAAATATCGAACTTAATATTAATACAATACAAAGTTACATTTGTAAAGCGTCTTTCACGTTAGAGGGTGGGAACGGTGCCAGTTGACAGGGAGAGGTTGACGAGGTTTGAGAGTAAAGGAGCGAGGAGGTGGACTGGGAGGTAAGGAGAGGAGTAGGAATGGGGTCGAGGGAGCAGGTGGTGAGCTTCACGCGGGTTATAATGGTGATGAGAGAAGAGAGGGAGACAGGTCCGAAGGTGTGGAGGGATGGGTAGGGGCCAGAGTTTGAGGGAGAGATGGGGAAGGGGTGGCATTTGGGAGGATGGAGGCGGCTGAATGGATCCCCTTGATTTTGGTATCAAGGAAATCCAGCATTTCCTTACAGTTAGAGTTGAGGAGAAGAGGTGTAAGAGGGTGGACGGAGGAGCCAGTTGGTAAGGGAGAAGAGGAGTCTAGGGTTGTCCTTGTCCACCAAGATTATCTTGGAAAAGAAGGACAATTTAGCAGAGGCGACGGCTGAGCGGTAAATTTTGATGTGGTCCAGCCAGGTTTGCTGTTAAATCATTTGAGCCAGGTGTGTTCGGCGGCTCGCACCTGTGCCTTGAGTGTATGGAGGTGGCTGGTGTACCTGGGTGACTTCCGTGAGTAGGAGGTGGTTCGGGAGGTAAAGGGAGTACAGGCATCGAGAATGGTGGAGAGGAAGTTGTGGAGGAGAGTGACCAAGGAGGATAAGTCGGTGCAGGAGGTAGACCAGAAGGGGAGGAATTCAGACGACTTCAGGGCAGCGGAGAGGGGTGCAGGGAGATTCTTTTCCAGGGGCTGTAGGAGATGGAGGTGGTGGTGGGGAGAGGAATGGAGAAGTTAAAGGAGATGAAATGGCTTTATCGGTGATTGTGAGGTCCGAGTCACAGGTCGAGTGGGTGGATGTGGAGGGAGAGGTTGTGAGAGGAGGGAGAAGTCTGTGGAGATAGAGCAAGATGGGGTGAAGTCCAGGTTGAAGTTGCCTAGGATGAGGAGGCATTCAGAAGAGAGGCAGAGGGAAGCTAGGAGGATGGAGATGTGGGGGAGAGTTTGGGGGAAACAACGATAAATCAGGAGAATTTTGAGGGAAAGATTGGAGGGATGGTAAGAGGGTAAGATGCTCGAAAGAGGAGAATGAGCCAGAGTAGTAGGGGGATAGAGCAAGTGAGGACCTGGAGATAAGGGCCACACCACCACCACGGCGGTTAGGACGTGGGGCCTGACGGTGGTGTGGCCTCAATTGGGGGATGGTGTCGCCTGGGGTGTTCTAGGTCTCAGTGAGGGCCAGGGTATCAATATTTTCATCCAAGATGATGTTGTTGATGGCGAGAGCCTTGTTGGAAAAGAAGCGGTCAGTATGTACACTGATGCGGAGGGGACAGTTGACAGAAAAATGTGTGAGATGGGAGGGGGTGGTCTGACCCGAGACCATCACCACCTCCCTCCCTCCCCCCAAACCCTCCCCCCTCTGCATCTCTCCTGTTCTGTCCTCTCTCTCTGTCCCCCTCGCCTTCTCTCCCCACTTGACCTTCCCACAACCTCCCTCTGTTCCAGCCTGGGAATCCTCCGCCGGGCTCACTGTGGCACTCGGCGTTGGCTGTACAGCAGCAGCCACACCGACTGCCCCATTCCCCACCACACTCACCAGCCACCCCGGACACAGACCCGGGGAGCCAACCTCTCATCCCCATTCCCCCCACCCCTGCCTCACAACCTGGACCCCCCTCCCTCCCCACACACCCTTCTGTTAACCGCTCCCTCCATATCGGACTACAAAACGTCCGCTACCTCTGTAACAAGGCCCTGGTCATCAACGATCTCATCCTTGATGAGAGCGTTGACATCGTGGCCTTAACGGAAACCTGGCTCACCCCAAGCGACACCTTCCCCCTCACGGAGGCCACACCACCCGGCTACACCTCCCACCACATCCCTCGCCCCAACCGCCATGGCAGTGGTGTAGCCCTTATCTCAAGGACACCACTTGCCCTATCCCCCTACTCCTCTGGCTCTTTCCCCTCTTTTGAGCACCTCACCCTCTCCCACCCCTCCTTTCTCTCACTCAAAATCCTCCTCCTCTACCGGTCCCCTAAAACCTCTCCGACCTTCATCTCCGATATTTCTACCCGACTAACATCTCTCTGCCTCTGCTCTGATCGCCTCATCATCCTGGGCGACTTCAACCTGCACTTCACCCCCTCCTGCTCCATCTCCTCGGACTTCTCCTCCCTGCTCTCCTCGCTCAACCTCTCCCTCCACATCAACTCCGCCACTCACAGTCACGGCCACCCACTCGATTTGGTGATCACCCGGGGCCTCAGTGTCTCGGATGTCACCATTACCGACAAGGCCGTCTCCGATCACCACTTCATCTCCTTCACCACCTCCACCCCCCTTCCCACCTCCATCAGACCCACCACCATCTTCTACCGCCCTGGAAGAAGTTACCCCCACAATCCCTAACCGCTGCCTTGGAGTCCTCTGAACTCCTCTCCCTCTGCCCTTCATCCCTCACTGACCCCTCTTCTCCTCTCACCCTCCTCCACAACACCCTCTCCTCCACACTCAACACTCTTGCCCCCATCACCTCCCATACTGTCTCTTACTCTCGCTCCTCCCCCTGATTCACCACCCACTCCGCTCACTGAAGAGCCAGGTGTGGGCCGCTGAACGCACCTGCCTCAAATCTGGCCTAACGGTCCACCGACAAATCTGGCTGGACCTCCTCAAAATCTACCGCTCCACTCTAGCCTCGGCCAAGTCGTCCTTCTACTCCAGGATAATACTGGAGGCGAAGAACAACCCCAGGCTACTGTTCTCTACCACATCCCGACTCCTCCGTTCCCTCTGCCACCCCGCGCAGGTCATCTACTCCCAACATTCACTGTGAGGAGATGCTGGATTTCCTTGAATCCAAAATCAAGGGAATCCGCTCCGCGGTCACTCCCACTCCAACTTCCACTCAACCCCCACCCCCTCCCTCCCACACTCCGACTCCTACCCATCCTCCCCTACACACCTTCGAACCCGTTTCCCCACCCTCTGTCACCAAACTCATCCTGTTCCTGAAACCCACCACCTGCTCCCTTGACCCCATCCCCACTCCACTCCTTATCTCTCAGTTCCACCACCTTGCCCCACTTCTCACAGACACCATTAACCTGTCCCTCTCCTCTGGCTCTGTTCCCCTAAAAACTGCCACCATCACTCCCACTTTGAAAAAAAATCCTCCCTTGATGCGTCGCAGCTATCAAGCTACCAACCCATCTCCAACCTCCCCTTCCTGTCCAAGGTCCTTGAAAGAGTTGTCGCCTCCCAGCTGTGCTCTTTCCTCTTCACCCATGCATTATTTGAACCCCTTCAGTCAGGTTTCCGTGCTGCCCATAGCAAAGAAACCGCCCTGGTCAAGGTCACTAATGACATCCTGACCATCTCCCTCTGCCTCCTCGTCCTCCTCGACTTATCGGCCACAGTTGATACGGTCTATGCTATACTCCTCCACCGCTTGTCCTCCCACCTCAACCTTCAAGGCCCTGTCCTTGAGTGGTTTAGGTCGTACCTCTCCCACTGTCTTCATTTTGTTTCCACAAACGGCTTTTCCTCCAGCCTCCGCACTGTCTCATGCGGTGTCCCTCAGGGCTCTGTCCTCGGTCCCCTCCTCTTCACCCTCTATATGCTCCCCTTTGGTGACATCATCCGCAGACATGGGGTTAACTTCCACATGTATGCGGATGACACCCAACTCTACCTTTCCTCCTCTACCCTCAACTCCATGACCACCGATATCCTGACAGCTGCCTGTCTGACATCGAGTCCTGGACGAGAGACAACTTTGTTCAGCTCAACGTCCGCAAAACTGAGGCCCTCCTGATTGGCTCGCGTTAGCGCCTCCGCACCTCTGGCGCTGACAGCATCAGCATCCAAGGCTGCACTCTCCACCTCTCAAAGCCGTCAGGAACCTCGGTGTTCTGTTCGACCCTGAGCTGTCCTTCCTCATATCCGCGCCACAACTGGCACCGCCTTCCATCACCTCCGAAACATCACCAGACTACTGCACTACCTCACCCCTCACGCTGCTGAAACACTGGTCCACGCCTTTATCACCTCAAGGCTGGACTATGGGAACTCTCTCTTCGCCGGCCCTCCCTCCACAAGCTGCAGGTCATTCAGAACTCTGCAGCTCGTGTACTGTCCTGCACCAAGCATCGCGACCACATCACTCCCACCCTCCCTCCCCATCCCCCAGAGGATCGAATTCAAGATCCTCATCCTCACCTACAAGGCCATTCATGGCCTTGCTCCCTCCTACCTCTCCGTCCTACTATCCCCCTACTTACCTGCCCGTACCCTCCGTTCCTCTGGCTCCGGTCTGCTCCACATCCACCGCCCTACCATTGGTGGCCGAGCCTTCAGCCCCTTGGCTCTGGAACTCCATTCCCCAGTCCCTTCGTCTTGCTTCCTTCCTCCCTTGCTTCCTTCCTCCCTTTCCTCCTTCAAGGCCGGTCTCAAGACCTTTCTCTTTGACCGTGCCTTCAGCTCCCCTCTCAACTCTCTACCCCCTCCTCGCTCGCTCCCTCCCTTCCCTCCCCTCACCCTGACCATTTCCCCTTGCTCGGATCCTGACCCAACTGTACAGCGCCTTGGGATGTCCTCCCGACGTGAAAGGCGCTCTATAAATGAAATCTTGTTGTTGTTGGAGGATTGGCAGGGAGGGTGGGAATGTGGATGAGGAAGGAGAGGTTAGCCCCCGGGTTCTGGATCTGGCAGTGTTTGCGGTGGTAATGCCTTGTGATGAAAACTACCTCTGGTGGAAATCTGTTTTGCAGAATGTCAGTGTGTATACCATGCAGGATTTAAAACAGACTGTGCTGAAACTTGCTGTGGTTATCTTTCTGTTTAATAACTTTCCTGTCCCAAGCTAAAATGTAGCACTGTACTAAACTTACTTTTCAAAAAAATACTCTACGTCTTTCTTCAAATGTGCCTTCGGCCAACCTCCTATCCTTCCCGCCCCGATCCCAATTCCCTGCTCGCGTCCAAATCCTTGATTATCCAGCGCCTTGGAACGTCCTGCCGACGTGAAAGGCGTTATACAAATATTTGTTGTTGTATAAAATGCCAATTGCAGATAAAATATTTTCGTAAAACATGTCTTTGGAGCTCCAAGAGATAACCTTTAAAATGTTTCAACTGTATTTAATTAAATAAACTCTGAACTTGACTTGTGAGCGTTTTAGTGCTTAAATCTGTAGAATTTCTCTTGGGAGTTGGACTTCCTGATGACTGATTAACAAGTACTTGTGTATTAGCGGAAGAATACCAAACAATATGTGGTAAAACATGAAAAGTCAGCTTTTTAAATGCCATGAATTTCTCCTTCTAATTAACCTAGAACACAATACAACAGAGCAGTATTTGATGGATACAACTATATATAATTGATCTGGACAGAGAGAGGTTTAAGTTTGATAAACCTAAATTATGAAGTGTAAATTGTGAGGGAATTGTGCCAATAATGGGAAATTGAAATAGTGCATTTACTGAACAAGTGGTCAGAATTATAGTTATTGAAGTTCAAATGTGAGGTAGTGCAGTTGGATGAATTTTTTTTAGGTCAACCATGTATCCCACATAATGCATGAGAACTCATCACATGCTTAGGAGTAACAGATTGAAAGTTCCACATTTATGCCATCTATATATGTAAATTTTTCTGTAACTGGAATGGACTGCCCACACTCTCCTTGAAAGGACAGGTTAGTTGGTGGGTCGATCTTGGGGTCCCCAGAATGTGTGTTGGGGTATTGCTGGATTCAGCCAGCTAAAACCGCAATCGTTAAATACATAGCAATCTGTGATTTGGCGTTAAATCAGTGTTATGTGATGAGACCAAAGAGACTTCAACCTGTTCTCTCCCAAAAGAATTGGTGGAAAAGAGGAGTGATAGAACATTTTCCCATTTAGCCTTCTATCAAGGTCAGGGGAATGGGAAGAGATTAAATGCTCTGTAATTAAATGTGTGAATTAACTATTTTATTCTCTGTAGTATAGGTGCTATAATTACAAACAAATGCTTACTATTCAAGCATCAAATGTTTCTGGAATACATCAGGGAGATGGTAATTGCAAGTCATTAATTGCTTTTTATAAATTTTCCCTTTTTAGGAATGTTTGTGACAGCAGCAGGAATCTCCCAGCGTGCCCCTGTTCATTGGTCAGAGGATGTGATTGGAGCAGCAGTATGCTTTCCTTACGTTGTAGCTCTGGATGAGGAGTTTGTTACTGTACATAGCATGCTAGACCAGCAGCAGAAACAGACCGTGCCATTCAGGGATGGCCATATACTGCAGGATTTTGAAGGTAATGCATATTATTAAAAATAATTATCCTTACATTTGATACAGGGCCTTTCATGGCAGGAGGACATCACAAAACGCTTAACGGGATGTACTGTACATCATAAATTGTATTTTGTAGGTGAACACGGCAGCTAATTTGTCTGCAGCAATGTCCCACAAATGGACGTGAAGGGAATAACCAATTTTATTTTGAGAATTGATGGCCAGGATACTGGGAGAAACTCTTTACATATAGTGGCATGGGATCTTTAACATCCAACTCAACAGGCAGATAGGACCTTGGTTTAACGTCTCATCCAAAGGACGGCACCAACAACAATGTAGCACACCTTCAGCACTGCAAAGATTATTATTATATCTCTGGTCTTGTTCCCTCTTATCTGAATATGCTTCCTGCAGTATAAATAATTGTTGTTGGTTATCTGTATAGACATACTTTTTGGGGGGGGAGCTATTTGTTAGCAAAATTACAGAATACTCCAGCAGGCCTAATTTGTAAGATCCATTACTCAACAGGGAAACTGATTTTAGCTACAAGCAAAGAAGTATATGTCCTGGTACCATTACCTTTGGAAAATCAAATTCAAGATCTTTTGACCGGCCGTAGAGTGGAGGAAGCACTGGTCCTGGCAAAGGGAGCTCGACGGAACATTCCAAAAGAGAAATTCCAGGTTAGTCAGATTTTGTCCTTTTTATTTCCTTAGACAGAATCCATTCAGTCAAATGTAATTTGTGTAATATTTGTGTCCCAGTCTTACACCATTGGCCACTTTCTCACTGTATGGATTGAAGATTGTTCTTTCGTCCCCACTCTGCTGAATTAGCTGATCTTAACTGGAGACAGCAGTGCACCAGCTACACCTATCCTCAACAACCTTGGACTGGAGAGAGGAAAAGCATAAACCAGACTTCTCACTCCTGTTTATTTTAGTTAAACCATATCTGTATGAGAGCAGGATTGGACTGGGTTTGTTCTTTCCCCTTCTCTTCCCCATTGTTATTTTGTGGAAAGCTGTATAATTTTTAAGTCCACGACTTACATTATTCCTAGTGCCATTTAACTTGCACTAAAGTTTAAACAAAATAATTGTAAGATGCAAATTGTGAAACGGAGTAACTGATAAATGAGCAATAGTATGTTGCATTGCAAAGCTGCTGTTTCAGACATGTAAAAAAAAAATTGTTTTTGTTTTGAAAAAGGAGGCTCTAAATTTATATGTGATGTCCAGTTTCATGCATTTGTTCACTCTGGAATGCAAATTGATTGACTTGATTTTGGTTTTACATTTCTGTTCGATATTTTTTGGATTGACTCTGCCAGTCACTTCTGTTTATAATCTGCAGGGTATGTACAGAAGAATTCTGCAGCAAGCAGGATTTATACAGTTTGGCAAACTTCAATTTTTAGAAGCTAAAGAACTCTTCAGGTATAAAGCAACTTAAGTGTTCAGTAGAATTGCTCAAATTGTTAAGATGAATTTTGTTGTACAACAACTTTTCTTTGAATTGTATGCATCAATTTAATCTTCAATCATCTACAGAATGTTGAATGGTAAAATAGTACTGTTTCTGTAGTAAATTGCATTAATCCAACTGGTCATGGCCTTGCAGATATTTCTTTGTTTTATGAATTGCTGATTTGACTAAATGCAGAAGAAAATCAAATGTATTATGTGAAAGCCAGTGGGCACAAATCTATTCATAAATCTGATGATGATGTAGAAAACATTGGTACAATTAAATTGATCTATATACCAACAAGATTGGACTTATTTGGAATATTAATTGCAAATTGTTTGCCACTAAAGTTTGCTGTTGATAAAAGTTGGGAACTATAATACCTTGAGATCAGAAAACTTCAAGATGGGTTAAGCAATAATACCTTGAATTTATATAGCGCTCCTCACGCTCACAAAATACAGTCAATCCACTTTATGGTATATCCTGTGAAGCGCTTTGAGAAGTCTCAATGGCTGATGAGGTGCTATATCAAATGCAAGAATTATTGTTACAAGTAGGGTCTCCGAGTGCTGAACAGCAGGATGGTATGACCCATCATAACATGTGGAAATTGTATTGGTCCATGATGTTGGAATAGCTGCTATTTAAATGCCATTCAAGTCTCTTGCATTTTTTTAAAAAAATTCTGGATTGCCCATAGTGTTGGTGAAATCCTCTCTGCTAAATAATATGCTAAATAGTTTGGTTTTATTATTCGTGCAAAAAAAACTTCAATATGCTCCTCTCTGTGTTCGTCTTGCTATTGGTATAATGGTTTAGTCTAATTCAGTCAACTTGATCTTGTCCTCTCTATGAATTTTCCAGAATGTTGAGGATTTAGGTTAATATACATAATATACATAGGTGGAGTCCTGTAGCTCAGTGGTTAGAGCACTCGCTTTGGAAGCGAGAGACCTGAGTTCAATTCCAGGCAGGTCAGGGCGAAACCTTGGGCAAGTTTCCTTACTCCACACGCCTAATAATAATCCCTCCAAAACAAAACAATAATAAATTGGTCATTTTCAATCCACGACTGTTTGTGGGACATTGCTGTGCGCAATTGGCTGCCGGGTTCGCCCACAAACATACAGTCAATTCACTTTACAGTGTGTTCTGTGAAGCGCTTTGGGATGTCCTCCCGACGTGAAAAGCGCTATATCAAATGCGAGGATTATTATTATTATTTGGGATATAATTGAATATTTTGGGTTATCTAAATCTGTATTGGTGCAATCTAGATTTTGCGGGGAAAATATTTCTACTTAAAATGTAAGTTTTTTTTAAACAAAGTAAAAAACAATAACTTTTAATATTTTCCCCTTCTGAGCAAATGTATTTTTCTGGGTTGAAATGGTAATATTTTCTGTCTTATAAATTACAGCAATATATTTAACTATGCTCTGCATTGATTCCCACCTACATATTTAGTGTAATTTCTTTAGTGATGGTTCTTTTGGCTATTGTAATTCACGCCCATTTCAATTTATATTGATTTTCTTTATATTTCTATGTGACTTAACAGGAATGGCCAGCTTGATGTAAGGGAGTTGATATCTCTCTATCCATTTCTGCTTCCTTCAACCTCCACATTTATGCGGTCCCATCCCCCCTTGCACGAATATGCTGACCTGAATCAGTTGACGCAAGGTGACCAAGAGAAGATCACGAAATGCAAGCGCTTCCTTATCAGCTACTTGAATGAGATCCGGAGTGCTGATGTTGCTAATGGTTATAAAGAAGATATAGACACAGCTTTGCTGAAACTATATGCGGAAGCTAATCACGATAGTTTGCTGGATTTATTGGTTTCTGAAAATTCTTGTCTTCTAGTGGAAAGTGCTCCCTGGTTGGAAAAACACAAGAAGTACGTAATGCAGGTTATTTGTATTTTGGTTAATTCTGTGAGGGGTGGCATTGGCTTCTGTATTTTATCAATGATTGTTTCTGAACTTAAATGATCAGCATAGACTATTAGCGAGCAGTTAATTTTATTCACACTCAGGGTTGACTGGAAGAGGAATGAAACATTTTAAGGGAGTATGTATAGTTAGGTATTTAATTAATATCAATATTGAATCCTTCCAAATAGGTTGGATCAGCTTTTAAAGCAAGAGTGCAAATCTAATTCAGAACTATGTAACTGCTAATATGAGTTATAACAACTGAGTGCCAAGATGAATATTCATTTCCAGGTGGAAGTGACTTTGATGACGACCTTAATTCCCTTTTCTTAACTTTCAGCTGTTCACTATCACCAAACAAGAAACCACTGCTGTATCATTGTTGTGCTATGAATGTTTGAATTGATACAGTGATCATTTGTATTTAATGATTTCTCGGGTAGCATAACTGATGGTGTTAACATTGTGCTTTTCTAACTGCAGATATTTTGCGCTTGGTCTTCTTTATCACTACAACAGCCAAAATGAGGCAGCACTACAGGTAAGAAATGATTCACAAGGCTTCTGATTCTAGGAACTTCAGCATTTACAAAGTCAAATGGTGATCGAACATGAATGAGGTAACTGGAATAAGCATAATATTTCATTATGAAATCTGCGTGAGTTGCATCATTGTTCGTTCATGGCATGTATTCTACCTTTCGGTCATTAGATTTCGCAAACCTAAAACACCTGATAATAATCCCTCCAAAACAATAATAAATTGGTCATTTTTAATCCATGACTGTTTGTGGGACACTGCTGTGCGCAATTGGCTGCCGCGTTTCGCCCACAAATATCCAGTCAATTCACTTTACAGCATATTCTGTGAAGCGCTTTGAGACGTCTAGAAGACGTGAAAAGCGCTATTTCAAATGCAAGGATTATTATTATTGCTACTGCTGATTTATTTTAAAATGCTGATTTTCTGATGGTTACTGTTTGGGTGGTTGAAAAATAAAATGCAGTAATCCTGCTAGTGGAGATGAGGTGCTGTTATTTTATACTTCCTGCTATGCAATACATTTAATAATATAATAATAATCCTTGCATTTGATATAGCGCTTTTCACGTCGGGAGGACGTCCCAAAGCGCTTCACAGAATATACTGTAAAGTGAATTGACTGTATATTTGTGGGCAAACGCGGCAGCCAATTGCGCACAGCAATGTCCCACAAACAGTCGTAGATTGAAAATGACCAATTTATTATTGTTTTGGGTTTTTTGGAGGGATTATTATTAGGTGTGTGGAGTAAGGAAACTTGCCCAAGGTTTCGCCCTGACCTGCCTGGAATTGAACTCAGGTCTCTCGCTTGCAAAGCGAGTGTTCTAACCACTGAGCTACAGGACTAATTCACTTGATTGGTTTTTTTCTGGACCACTTTGCACAAATTATTTAAAGGTTACTGGTCCTCAGTGATGCTATACTTAACTAAATAAACAGCAATATATGCTAACATTTTTTAAAAAGTCCTTCAGGGTTTGTTACTGTGATATCAATGCAAAAATAGGTTAAATTCTTACTCTTCACAGATCAACTCTTTGAACTGTTGAAGTTGCTCCTGTACTTCAGAGTTTTATAGTTGGAGAGGTTCTGCTGCACACTGTGTTGAACACCAATTAATTGCTTTTCAGATGAGCAGATGTTTATTATGCCATCCACTTCACTACAATCTGGGAACACTTGAATAAATAAGTGCTTCTTAGATCATTTGTTCAAAACATCTTGCTTTTTATATTATTTTTAAAAGCCTGTAAAATTTATGGTTAGTCTCTTTTATTTCTCTTGAATTTTTTTATTTACATGTGAAGGAAAATCTAGAGTCAATATTTTCTGTTAAAAGTATTCCTTGCTGTAGAAGAGAATTATGATTATTTTGTTGCCTATAAGCAAAGAATCTTCCAAAGTTTTAAGAATTCCTGCTCCAGGGATGTAAATTATAAGGAGTAGAGCATGTCCCAAAAGGCACCATTTTGTTCAATTTGTTGAGTTCTTCTGACTGGCATGGGAATTGATCCTTTGAAAGCAACCATACAATAATACCAAAGAATAATAAAAACAAATAATATGTGCTTTCCTGGGTGTTGTTTGATTCTGGATCAACTCAATCCAAAGCCACCTTTTTTCTCCTCTCTCTCAACAAAATGACCCTTTCTTAATGATTTTCTCTTCGTGAGGATTAGTAAAATGTTTTGTTTTGCTTTGTAAGGTTTTTAAAAATTTGATCATTCCACGTCTGTTTGTGGGTCACTGCTGTGCCCAATTGGCTGCCACATTTTGCCCACAAAATACGCAGTCAATCCATGTACAGTATATTCTGTGAAGTGTTTTGAGACGTCTCAACGATGTGATAAGGAGTTATATCAAATCCAAGGATTATTATTAGATTTTTTTCTGCTTTATAATTTCTAACATGTAATTTTCTAGAAGCTGCACACTATATTAAAATCATCTTCTATGAGCAGTGTGAACATGTAGGCTTTGTTGTAATGATTGCAGAATCGATTTAAAACTTCCACGAGGCATGAAGAAAATTATGTATGGATAAATTTGCCTCTTAAGTGCAGCTTAGTTTGTATCTGCATCTTGCTTATCATTTTTCACTGTTGCAGATTTCAATCAAATTCTGTCAGCCTGTTTGCATTTAATTAATAAGACATATTGGACTCAAAATGGGAATCATTGTATATTGATTTTAGAAATGTAGGAGAGTTGCCCATTGAAATAATGGTACAGTGTTGTGTATGTATGACACAGTATGCATTTTTATTTGCCAGTTTAAATTCTCTTTCCCCTCTCAAAGATAGCTTCCTACAGGCATTTTGCCCACAAATATACAGTCAATTCACTTTACAGTCTATTCTGTGAAGCGCTTTGAGATGTCTAGAAGATGTGAAAAGGGTTATATCAAATACAAGGAATATGTAGCAGCATAACATCATTTGTGCTGTGTTTAAAATTCAATATGTCTATATTGCTACAAATAGGCATATTGATGAGTGCTATAATAATAATTGCATTTGATATAATGATTTATGACGTTTCAAGATGTCTCAAAGCGCTTCACAGAATATACTGTAAAGTGAATTGACTCTATATTTTGTGGATGAAATGCTGGTGCATATGCGCCATCCAACATAATATAAACAGAATAAGCACAAAGCAAATTGAATTGTCTTGAAGTCTGAAGAATTGAATTGTCTATTTAAATGACTTCATTTTCACATTCCTCAAGCCTCTGGAGGTAGAGAGTTCACATGTTTGAAGAAGGCCCTTTAGCCCATTTGATCTCATCCTTCCAGAATATTCACCCTAAGGCCCTCCCTTCTCAGCATAAAGCTGTTTCTTAAGTCCAGAGTCCTGGCCTTGATTAAGTTTGCTTGGTTTCATATATTCCTATTTACATGGTAACATGTACACAATATTAGTGAATGGACAGGCGACACAGTGGGTGAACAGAAGCTTAACTCATTACGGGTGAGTGGTATAGTATATTAGGCAGTATTTTTTCCCTGGATACATGTAGCTCATTGGTGCGAAGGACTTAAGAAAACCTAGGAAAGATAGGTGCTGTTCAGCTGAAACTGTGAGAAACAGGAGAATGATGCACTAAGAGATTGTGTTGAGAACAGAAATTACAGGACTAGGAATAGGTCGGAAGCAAATAGAAAAGCAAGTAAAGTGATGAATAATACAGACCAATTAACCAGATGCTAGAGGAATAAAGGAGGCAAAGGTGACGTATAGCAGAGGAGATGGCAATGGGCATAAATTTGGCTGAGAGGATGCATTAATGAAAGTTTTTATGAAGTTAAAAAGAAAAATTAAAATCTTGAATAAGATTGGAAAGTCCTTGAAATGCACAATAGTGGGTTAGTAGTTAACCTTTAACTGCATTAAAATAAAATTGCCATAATTGGAGATGCAAGTTTTTTGAATGTTAAATATTTCATGTTCAGGAGTCGGCAATCAAGTTTCCAATGCTGTTTTGTTAGTTTAAGCAGTTTTTTAATCTTTTTCTCCACATCCTTTACTATCTAAGGTCTTATCTTTCTCCTTAAATACCTCACGTGATTCTGCATCTACAGCCTGTAGCAATGCATTGCACATTGTGCGCAAGTAATGTTTTCTGAATTCCTTTTAATCAGGTTAGCCCCAATTGTAAGATTGTGCACCCTTGTTCTCGTTTTTCCTACTAGAAAGAAGTGTGTTTTTTCTCTCTCTCTCCTCAATTTCCTTTGTTGTTTTCAGATTCCAATCAGACTGCCCATAACCTGCTCCTTTCCAGATAAAATACCCTAAGTTTGCCCAACCTCACTCAATACAGCGATTAGGTTCCTTTATTTCATCTTTTCATCATGTAGATCCTACATGATTCTGAACATATCAATTCAAAGTTAATGATTTTTACTTTTCTTGAAAATAAGTATTATCTAGGAAGATACACTGGCATACTGTCCATATTTATGATATAAAACGTCCTGAGTGATAGCAGAAAGGGTAAATAGGGCTGTGGCAAAGGCTTTAAACTAGTAAACGGGGGGAGGGATCAGAAGGAAGTGACTCAAGCCAGACAAAAGTAAGAAATAAGGAGAATATAAATGATCAGGAATTAATACAGTTATAGAACAGAAGTATGAAAAGACTGTCAAAAATAAAATGAGGAACAATTAATAATAATGAATTAAACTGTCCGTACAACAATGTACACAGTCTCTGAAATAAAACAGGAGAACTGGAGGCAATAATTCGTAGTGGGGAGCCAGATATAATTGGGATTACTGAAACGTGGCTACAAAAAGAACAGTACTGGCAATGAAACATTGTAGGATATAACTTATTTAGAAAGGATAGAGATGGGGAAAAAAGGCGGTGGAGTAGCTGTACTTGTTAGGGACAGCATCATGGCAGTAGAAAAAAGGGGCATGGCTAACAGTAAGATAGAAGCAGAATCTGTGTGGACAGAGATAAAAGATAAGAAGGGATCAATCACACAAATAGGGGTTCTTTGCAGACCACTTAACAGTGGAAGGGAGGTAGAGGAAGAAATATGCAAGCAAATTAGGGAAATGAGTAAAAGACATAGTGTAATAATCATGGGGTATTACAACTACCCCCAAATAAATTGGCTAGTAAAGGGGAATGGAGTTCCTTCAATGTGTACAGGACTCCTTTCTTACCCAGCATGTAAGAGGCCCAACAAGCGAGGAATCCCTACTGGATTTAGTAATGGGAAATGAACCAGAGCAGATAAGAGAAGTACGAGCAGGGGAACATCTACGCAATAGCAATCATAACATCTAGAAACGGAAAACATAATAAAGAATAGTCAGCACGGATTTCAAAAAGAAAGGTCATGCTTGACCAACCTCATTGAATTTTTTGAAGGGGTAACAGAAAGAGTGGACAACGATAATGTGGTAGATGTAATATATTTAGATTTCCAAAAGGCGTTCGATAAGGTACCACACAATAAACTAATGAATAAGGTCAGCGCATGTAGAATCGGGAAAAATAGCAGAATGGATAGCAAGCTGGCTGCAAAACAGAGAGTAGGGGTAAAAGGTAGCTACTCAGACTGGCAGAGGGTGGGCAGTGGTGTTCCACAAGGATCGGTATTGGGACCACTGTTGTTCACGATATACATTAATGATTTGGGTTCGGGGATCAGCAGTATGATTTCAAAATTTGTGGACGACACCAAATTGGGGGGAGTAGTTAATACAGAGGAGGACTGCAACAAATTACAGCAAGACATTAATAAACTTGCTGAGTGGGCATTTAAATGGCAAATGCATTTCAGTGTAGAAAAGTGTGAGGTGGAACGTTATGGTAGAAGGAATAAGGAAGTCACATACATCCTGAAAAATAAAAACCTAAATGGGGTAGAGGAGCAAAGGGACCTAGGGATACACATACACAGTTCACTAAAAGTAGCAACTCAGGTTCACAAGGCCATAAAAAAAGCAAACCAGGCATTGGGGCTCATTTCTAGAGGTATAGAAATGAAAAGCAGGGAAGTTATGGTAAACTGCTACAGAACCTTTGGTTAGACCACACTTAGAATACTGTGTGCAGTTCTGGTCCCCACATTATAGAAGGGATGTAGAGCACTGGAGAGGGTGCAAAGGAGATTCACAAGGATGATCCCATAACTAAGAGGTTATACCTATCAGGAAAGACTGAACATACTTAGACTCTTTTCTCTAGAAAAGAGGAGGGTAAGGGGTGACCTGATAGAGGTCTTTAAAATGATGAAAGGTTTTGATAGGGTAGACATAGGGAAGCTGTTTCCACTTGTGGGGGAGACCAAAACCAGGGGCCATTAATATAAAATAGTCTCAAATAGGGAAGTTAGAAGAAATTTGTTCACATAGAGAGTAATGGGAATGTGGAACATGCTACCACAAGGAATTGTTCACGCAAATAGCACCGATATATTTAAGGGAAAGCTGGATAGGTACATGCGGGGAAAGGAATAGAAGATTAAGTTTAAAGGCTTAGTTGAGAAAAGGCAGGAGGAGGCTCATGTGGAGCATAAACACCACCATAGACCAGTCGGGCCGAATGGCCTGTTTCTGTGCTGTATATTCTAATGTATAATGTGGCTGTTGAGGCATTTACAGTATAAATGTAATTATCTTCATTTCTCATAGCTGTGGATGAATATTGTCGATGGAGGCCTGGAGGACACTACCCGCTCAGATCTTTATGAGTACATCATTGATTTTCTCAGTTTCTGCTCTGACCATGAACTGGTGTGGAAATATGCAGACTGGGCCTTGCAGAAAAATGAAGAGGTTTGTTATTTCCTAACGATGTTTAAATTTATTCAAGTGAACTTTCATATGAATTTTCAGAAGTTTTATTAATATATTGTAAAGCACAATATTCTTTCACTTTATAACTGATGATGTGATTTGATTTGGCTATTCCCTCATGGCATTTGTAGGACTTTGCTATTTGCAAAATGCTTGCTGTGTTTGACAATAAAAAACAGTCATTACATTTAAGTATAATAACCTGTTCTTTTGTGACATTTCCACATAATAAATAACTAATTATTTTTAGGTAAGCAAAACTTAAAAGCTGTTAATCTTTGAATATGGAAGATCAGAAGTTAAATTGGTAGCTTTGTTACCTAATATATGGCAAACAGCAGATTTGGGGAATGAACTTTGGATCCAACTAATGCATGAATGCAAGAAAATAAGGGGATAGAAAGAAAAGTTTCGATTTAAAAACAAAATAACGTGTTACCTTGCATGTTGTAACATATACACTGTGATCATTTATTCCATGTGAAAGATGCCATGAAAGTACAAGCTGTTATGTAAAACGGGTGTGGCATTGTTCAAGACAGAATAGCCTAAATGTTTTATCTCTCCTTAAATAATTAGCAGATTTAAAATGTGAAGTGAAGTACTAACTGAGTTGGTTTTGCTCTCACAGCACTCTGCTCCAATCTGTTACCACACATTTTGTTTTAAAATCTATTGTAAGATTTCTAGACCACCATTAGATTGTCTGCATATGAGAGGTTCACAAGTTCAATTACTGAGAGCATATCTGTCACTGAAGCCTCTCACTTGGGAGTGAAATTTCTCTGGCAAACTTCCTAGACTGAGGGATTTGGGAGAGCAGAGGCTCATTCCCTGTAAGCGCACCATTAAGCATACAATATTAATTGACAAATTCCCAGGCTAGTGTACTGCTTAGCAGCTTCTTTTGACGTGTGAACTGATGGAAAATTAAGATAAAGTAGGCCACGATTAATTAAGGTATTAAGTGGATCATGGTGTGGTTTATTGAGAATTCTAACAATGCTTTGGTTGTAATTTTATCGTTATGCTGTAGGTTGGGGTCAAGATTTTCACACGACGACCTTTGGTTGAAAGCCAGACTATTGGTATAAATCCAGATGACATAATCAACTATCTACACAAGTACAGAAAAGCTGTTGTTGTATACTTGGAGCACTTAGTATTTGAGAGAAATATTCAGGTAAATTTATAGCACATGAATACCAATAGCTATAAAATGTCAACTTGTACGCAAAATGGGGTTTCAAAAATAATTTTCAACCAAAGTTTTCACTGTTTTTACCTCATTTTCGTTTCCTGCCTCACCTCTCCTGAAGGTGCTGATTACTGCTATGGTACAATTCTATAACTTCCTCCAATTCATCTTCCAATGGGCTATTCATGTGTGAATGTAAATTAGGGAGGATTCATTTGTATTCAGTGAATTTCATTTACTTCATTCTTTGACTGTGATAAGATCCAGGTGGATAGTCGAGACTTCAATCTTCCACATTATATTCATGCATTGACTTTCACACAACCAAACCTCAATCATGCATGAAGTCGTGAATGGTTAACTAGATTACGATCTGTCAAGGTGTCTACACAGAGCTACTTTGTGTAAAAAAATTCTACACAAATTCTGTACTGGTTTACTTTACAATTATTGCTGCCAATTCCACAGTATTTGAAACACATTCCATTTCTTTATTTAAGGATTGTGTTAAAATGGTATTTTAAAATCTCCCACCTTCACCTTATTCGAATAATGCTTGTGCCCAAAATCCATCTGAAAAGTCCTGACCCACTCTGCCTTTCCTCACCTCCGTAACATCCCCCGACTCCGTCACTACCTCACCCCTCAGGCCATTGAAACTCTTGTTCATGCCTTCATCACCTCCAGTGCTCGACTATGCAAACCCCTGCTTGTCGACCTTCCCAACTCCTCCCTCCACAGGCTGCAGATAATCCAGAACTCTGTAGCCTGTGTCCTCCCACACCAAATTCCGTGACCCCATCTCCCCCATTCTCTCCCGACTCTATTGGCTCCCTGTCCTTCAGAGGATCCTGTTCAAGATCCTGGTCCTCACCTACAAAGCTCTCCGTGGCCTTGCCCCAACCTACCTCTGCGACCTCCTAGCCCCCTACCAACCCGCCCGTTCCCTCTGCTCAGCCGGCTCTGGCCTGCTCCACTTCCCCCGACCCACCCGCCCCACCATTGGTGGGAGAGCCTTCAGCCACTCTTCCCCAACCTTTGGAATTCCATTCCCCCAAACACTCCGCCACGCCCCCTCCTTAGCCTTCTTCAAGTCCCGCCTCAAGACCCTCCTCTTCAACTCTGCCACAAGTGCTATGAAAAGTATTCGTGCTTTATATAAGTAAACTGAGATTACCCATTACTTAAAATTCTTGTTTTACATAAACCTTTGTTTGAATGTTTAAAATTCCCTAATTACTCAGAATTTTTTTCAAATTTGGGAATTCCCACAGATGAGGGTTAAAAAAATGTCAATAGAACAAATACAATTTTAAGTTTATTTTCTTGACAACCGAAAATCTCAATTGGATTGCCTTTTTACATTTTTGTCACCTCCAAAATAGATAATAGGAGCCTTGAGGGAGAAACTCAGTATTTTAATGTTAACATTTAAATATTATATCGTGGAGTCCTGTAGCTCAGTGGTTAGAGCATTCGCTTTGCAAGCGAGAGACCTGGGTTCAATTCCAGGCAGGGCGAAACCTTGGGCAAGTTTCCTTACTCCACACGCCTAATAATAATCGCTCCAAAACAAAAAAAATTGGTCATTTTCAATCCACGACTGTTTGTGGGACACTGCTGTGCACAATTGGTTGCTGCGTTTCGCCCGCAAATATACGGTCAATTCACTTTACAGTCTATCCTGTGAAGCGCTTTGAGAACGTTGAGAAGACGTGAAAAGCGCTATATCAAAATGCAAGGATTATTATTTTATGTTTGCACCTACAGAAAGAAAAGTGCCACACTCATCTAGCCGTATTGTATCTGGATAAAGTTCTGGGATTACATTCACAGTCAAGGAATGGTTCAGAAGAACTAACTTCAGCTCGGAACAATCTTAAGAACCTGTTCCGGCACTCTCAACTCTATAGAGTTCATCTTCTGCTGGGTAAAATTCCCATTATACTAGCAATACGGCAAGGGAGGTTTGGAAAATATGAAGTTTGTGGAGATTGAACTATTCCAGGGTGGTTGTTAACTGGAAGTGGTTGGTGAATGGAGGTGATTGCTTGAACAGATTTAACTGTGTGTGTGTGTAATATATATCTGAGATGCAGCCTTTAAGTAACTATTTTGAAATATGAGTAATTTGCGATCCTAAACTCAGATTTCTTAGACTTTTTTAAATTCATTTTCTCTTTCCCCAACAGGTAGAATTAAAGACACTGATCTCTATGTGGAGCGTGCAATATTACATGGAAAATTGGAAGAACATGATAAAGCCCTTGAAATTCTGGTTCACCGACTAAAGGATTTCCAAGCAGCTGAAGACTACTGTTTGTGGAATTCTGATGGCAAGGACCCTTTGTGCAGACAGAAGCTCTTCCATATGCTATTGGCACTTTACCTGGACCCAGCTGTCACCAGTGATGCATTAGTAATGGCTGGTGTAGATCTTCTCAATAACCATGCTGTTGAGTTCGATGCAGTGCGTGTGCTACGACTGATTCCAGATAATTGGTCGATTCAGTTGCTTTCACCATTCCTGGGTCAGGCAATGCGAAAGAGTTTTCATTCTAAATGTATGGCAGAAGTTGCACTGGGTTTAGCGAGATCTGAAAACTTAATATATAGATACACAAAGGTGGGTAGCTCTCAGTAGAAAAAAACACTCCACATTTTCAGTTCTTTATCTCATAAACTTAACAAATTCATGTTTTTTAAAAAATAAAAAATTCCATTTTCTTTAGGCCACACATCTGTATTACAGAGTGACCTGGCCTGATTCACTTTTCAACTTTTACACTAACTTTCATGTTTTTTCTCCCACACACTTTTTCCCCATTTGTTTTCCACTCTTCTGTAATATAAATAGATGACTTATACAGAAATAGGTAATGCTCATAAATACTGCTGGCAGTTCAGCCTTGTATGAAACTGTCAAATTGTCAAAAGTCCCAGTTTTGATCCTCTCTGTTCCATTCTCTCTGTTCAAGTCACCATAATAGCAGTACAAAAATCAACATCCACACCCTTTGGTTAGAGAGAGGATATCAACTTAGGTTCTGCTTCTAATCGCCACCCAGTGATTCCTGCTTGGAAAATGTTTGTGTTTAGTGAGACAGGATCAGAAAATATAGTCATTTCACTTTATAGTATATTCTGTGAAGAACTTTGAGATGCCTCAACAACCTAATAAGGCTCTATATGAAATGCAACGATTATTATCAGGCTTGACTGATGCTTTTGGAGGAAGAATAGTTTTACATCACTCCCGTTTCTGGGCTCATTCATGAAGAATAATCAATTAGACAACGTACCAGAGGGTGATTGGTGCTTCTGAAATTAATTTGACAATAATTGGAGAGGACTAGTTAAATCCTCCCCCCAAAAAATGCCTTAACTTTGTGACATTGGCATCATAAACAACTTGTATCTGCCCTTTGCCACTGAGTGCAAACTGTCAAGTGTAAATCAACTCTTAACATCCATGTAGCAAATGGATTTAGATACACAAAGGTGGGTAGCTCTCGGTAGAAAAAAANCTCCACATTTTCAGTTCTTTATTCCATAAACTATACAAATTAGTCTTTCAGTCCTTTTTAGATGTGTAAGAATGGAGGGACTGAAAAAACAATTAGCTCAATTCCTGTCTTGTCCAACATCATGATGATTATAATTGTAACAGGAATATCTTTTGCATTTGAAAAGTTTGTCTAACATATAGCATTGTAGGATAAGAGAAATGTAGCCCTTTTACAACATTGGATTTCAAAAACAAGCTGTAGTTGTACTACAGAGTTCTGTGCTGTTGAAAAACATTCAACACAAAATGTTACAAGTAAAGTTTCATGCATGTTCTATTTGTGCAACTCTGTCATTATGTAATAATTTTGAGAAGCACAATAGGCCATTTGTTGCTGCATCATATATTAAGGTATAGAAAATAGGTGGTACTGATACCCCAGTGTAGTATTTTCCAAATCAAACATCAGTGTCAAATCCTAATTGAATCAAGCTGCATCCTGTTACAGTAAACTTGAACAAATGCATAGCAGCATTAATGGAAAACAGATGAAAACTGAATCTAATAAGTGCTTGGGAGGGAGTTCTTTAATAATGTGAATTTTGAACCAATGTAACCAGTCTACAAACCTGATTTTCAAACCGCATGATAAACAGTGTTAATGATGTAAAAAAATGCACGCTCACTCAGTAGCTAAAGATGTAGCTGGTCCATGAATGTGCTTCCACAATTGACACAATGGTTGTGTCTGAAGCCTGTCTTGGATCATAGCAGGGGAATGCTGGTGAGAGGGAATGCAGTGTTAAGTTAGTTTACTGCTAATCAGCACTCCAGTGTGTCCAAGTCCAATGCATGTCATGGGCCAGACTCAGACCCAACCGTTGTGACAGTCAGGAGCAGATGCATTTATACCAACAATAGATTGCATTTATATAGCAACTTTCATATTGGGAGGATTCCCCAAGACATAGGATAGTCAAGAGTTTGCACCCAAGTTGGGGGTTGGAATCTAGAGGAGTGGAGATGGGAGGGGTGGGTTGCATGAGGACTATTGAAGGCACAGTTAAAGGCTTGACACGGGCCTTGAAGGAGGCAAGGGAGGGGGCGACACAGACGGGCTGAAGGCCTGACCACCGATGGTGGAGCAGGCAGGGAGCGGGATGTGGAGCAGGCCAGTGCCTGACGAACGGAGGAAATGGGCAGGTTGGTAAGGTTTTAGCAGGTCGCAGAGGTAGGGAGGGGCAAGACTGGGACTTGCCAATACAGTATCTTTATTAGCACATGAAATGGTTACATTTTTCAACTGTGATTAACAGCAACAAATTAAATTTGTATAGCACCCTTCACATCAGGAGAACGTCCCAAGGAGCTGGACAGTCAGGGATGCGCACCTGAGCTGGTGGTTAGGATCAGGAGGCGTGGAGGGCGGAGAGGGTATTTTCACCTAATAGTATTATTAAATATTTTTATACATCTGATAATGACAACCTTTTTTACTTTATAGTTCTTTTCATCAGTCTTGCAGTTAACTATTTTGAAATATAACAATCATCGGGACCAGAAAAGGCCACCTCAGATTGCTCACATTTTTAATATTGTACCATATCTCTCTTGATTTTGCATATCCCTCAGTTTTCTTGACTGCCAAAAGTCCATTCAGTGCTAATTAAATCTATTCTCACTTCTACTTCCCTGGGCAAACTCAGTGTAAAATGGCTACCAACATTGCTGTACAATCGATTCCATTTACTAACCATCTCAACCATCTTTTGCGTAAAGTAGGCAAACTAAAGCTTCCCCCTTCTGAATGTCAGACCACATCTTTTTGTGAACTTCTTGACGATATTAAATACGGATAGTGGAGTCTTATTTGATCATGTTTAATATTGCTGCTGAATGTTGAAACCTAGCCCCTTTTGTTTTTGCTTACTCCCTTTTCAGGTGAAATCAAGAGGAAATGCTGTTGCACTTTCAGGAAAAAAAGTTTGCCAAGTATGTCGTGGCATGTTCACTGAACCAGTATTTCTGCGCTCCCCAGATGGTGCTCTTCTTCATACCCATTGTGCAACAAAATCATCCAGTCCGTCAGCCACTGTTCAGACATATGCCAATCCTTGAAATCAATCCTGAAATGTCAGCACATAAACCAGTGGGTTGGTTAGTTCAAAAATAAAGTTGTCCTCCTGCAGATCAAGAGAAAGAAAAGGAAGGTGCTGCTACTCTTTGAAGAAAGAAAATGAAGAAATCTGTCTGCATATACTTGAAACTTACACTTCAGTGTAAAATGGCTACCAACATTGCTGTACAATCGATTCAATTTACTAAGTAAAGTTAACTGAGCATTATTTGAACTTTTAGGTTTCCCAGCACTGGAGGGGGATGAGGAGTTGGTATCATTGCCTGGACTTGTGCAACATGTGGTAAATACAGAAAAAAAATGACCATTTTCAATTTTGTTGTATGGTGACAGGCTTCTGTTTTTGTGCCCCTCATGTTGCTTTGGGTGTCTGCTGACATAGATGTGCAAAATGATTCTTCTCTATCTTTGATGTACTGAATTGGAAATGGGTAGCCTATTCCTTACCCCATCCTTAAAATTCCTGTCACGTTTTGAGCGCACCTACATTTGTAATTCACCAGTCAGCCCAATAATCTGTACAACATGTAGAATAACCTACACTTGACTTTCAGTCTGTATGCTCTAAATCTACTGTAACATTGTGGGATAATGGTTCCCATACACACCCTAAAGAGTTACAGATATGCACAAATAATATAATTTCTGCCCATAAAAAGAACTGATATTGATTTGACTGCAAGGGAGAGATGATTTTTGGTAATGAAGAGTAATGTGGGGTTACTGGTACATAGGAGCAAAGGTTCTCCAAGGTGTTACTGAAGAACCTATATTTGGCATTATATGACCGACTTCCATGGAATTTTTAGGAAAAAGGGAAAAAAAATACTATGTTAAGTGATTGTGATTTTCTAAGTTTTAGTCCATATGATTGTATTTTGAGTTGAAAAGGATCTCATCAATTAGTGCTATTTTGAGAATATCAAATACATGAGCTGCAGTGAGAAATTTGAGGAATTATAAATATTTTGACTGTCTTGAAATCTATGGAAAATAGTCCTATTAAGTAATTATGATATCTTTTTAACTACAGCCATACATTTATTCATGTTGCCATTAATTAACAGATTGATTAAGCATCCAGGTGGCTACCAATATTCTAGCAGAGTTTTGTTTAAATGGTCATTTTGCAATGCTTATAGAGTATTTGTATGTTGTAAGATGTTTGATTTGGAAATCTTGATTATAGAGGACTTACCAGGTCAAAGGATACCGGTTTCACACATTGTGTGTTAATAGTCTGACATTTTAATAAGTATAGGGAGAGAACAGCTATGTTATAGTTCTATTTCACCCTCATACATGTTAAATATATTTGCAGGGGTAGATAAATTTCAAGGTCAAGAACAATTTGCTTCCAATGCAAACCAGAGGAGGAAGGGATGCACGTTTCCTGCAGGTTCGATCCAATCTTTGTTTTGTTCAGCAACAAAATCTTCATGTGTATTTCTGACACGTACATCTTATCAATTACATGTGTTTAATGTGAAGTGAATCAAAAGACAAACTGATTTGTGATTTTAACTTCATATTGGTTTCCTTAACTTTATATTCTAAGAGGCGTATTCTAGATTGAGTAGTAACGGCCTCGTTTTCTACTTAAAAGTTGCATATTTTATTATGTTTTAGGTGATAAAGTTTACAACTTCTGAATCATACCAGATTTAAAAACAAAAATGTGAATTCTTTGAATAGTAAAATAACCAAGTTAAATTCCAATACCATTTTAAAGAGTCCAATGATATGTTGAAACTGAACCAAAGTGCACGTTTACTTCTGAAACACAGATGTACACTTCTTCTGTCTGTGGTTTTGTACAGTGTGTATATGCAGTAGTATTGGTAACAGTCATATATGTTTTGAGTTGCAATCTAAATTTTGTTTACTCTGCTGTTTTACATAATCCCAGTGATGTTCAAACACAAACATTTTAAAATTTGCAAAATTGCCTAATACAGTGGAAATCTTTCTACTTTAACTGTCCTATCTGACTACTCTGCTTATATTTAATTTTGCACTGTAAATACTATTGTACAAATGTACAGATGACAATTTTAATAAATCCTTTCATTGGGGAAAAATAGAATTTGTTGGCCTGATTTGAGGACTTAAAATAATTATTTTGGATTGTGTATGGAGACTCTCTCATTTTTAGCTGGGGAACCAAATTGTGTCTAGGAATGCCGTAGAATATTTTAGGAATGAGCTTGCATTATAGCATCTTTTCCCTTCAAACTTTCCCAAAATGCTTCACAGATAATTACTGTCAGGTGAGTAGTTTTATGGGAACATATTTTGGCACCAAACTCCCACAAACAGCCATGAGGTGAGCAATACGTAAATCTAGAGGTTGTTGGCCTGGATACTGCCGAAATGCTCTTGTTTGAATAGTGAGGCCCGGATACTGCCAGAAATAGAAGTGAGAAGTGCTGTTTATCTAGTCTTTCCTCATAGCTCATCCCTCAAACACTGGAGAGCATCCCCATTGCTCTCACTTCCTCTAGAGCCTGCTCAGTTATTGCAGCCATCAGAAATATATATAATCCTATCTGCAGATGGACAGGAAGACAGCATAATGCTGGAGTTTAAGCAGCTAAAACTATATAGCTTGCCATTGCAAAGACTGCCTAGTAAGCTTCCTGCTGCTTGTCCAACTGGGACCATCCTCTCCATTAGGGCTTTGGCTTGCGGAATTAACAGGATCTGAGTGACAAGAATCCCTAACCCCAATGCCTGGTCTTTCCCTCCCAAGTTAGTGTCCAGCAAGCCAGACTCCCAGCATTGGACTTGGATCAGTAGAAAGCGACTGACATAAACTTCCTCACTAATGTTGAAAGTAGTTGTTCGTCAAAAGCCCAATGGGGAAATTAAAGCATTGGATAACAAATGGCACATAAAAGGGACTGACAGGGGCAGCTGGGAAATGGCATCCTTTTGCCTTAGCTCCGGATAATATTGCAAGTCAGTTTCCTATTGAGTAGGGTGGATCCAAATGGACTAGTGGTATTTTCACTGGTTCAATTCCAGTCATATTCTTCGTTGTCTGGTTCCCAATACCTTCGCTTCTGCCAACCTCCACCAGTCAGAGGCAAGTGGAGTGTTCTTTTTTGTATTTTCCTTTTTTGAGAAAAGATTTCCAAATCAAACATTTTAATTGGTTATTCTTGCCTTTAATCTGTTAGAGAAAAGTTGTATGTCTCAATTTCTGGTCTCTTTCAGCCTTGTTATTTTATTAGGTGTGTTAAAGTTGACATTTTCCATCAGATGTCTACAGATGTAATGCTTACACAAATGAAGGGATTAACAATAATTCTGCCTGCACAAAACCAACTTGTGGAATGTCTTCAATAAAATGTTCCTTCTGGTTGGCATGTAATTTCACATCTTGCTAAAGCTAAAAGAAGAAGAATTTTCTAAACCAATTTTATCAAAAAATCATTCACTCTGCTTCAAACAGAGACAGCGCTAAACAGATTACAAATATCTAAACCATCATTATGAACTTTTGCTGGGAAACAATAATGATTGATCCCAGTTTAGATGGTTCTGGTTTCCTGGAATGAAATAAAAACAAAATATTTTCTTTCAATAGTTAAGTGATCTTAACTTTGGTTCTTTTCCATATAAGGTTGATTAAAAATGTAATAAGATTAAGTGCAAATAATGGCTTTAGTAATTGAAAAACAATGAGTCAGACACTGAGGTCATAATTACAGCAATTTCAAAGTACTTATTATGTTGCAAAGTCAAAGTCACAATTGGCTCTGGGTATTGCTGATCAAGCTGAGCTTAATCCCAACGTTGCCAAATATGTGTACATAAAACACACGTCTTGCTGCACCAAAACTTGCAGTAGTTCGACTGGTTTATAGCATTCCCCATTAATAAACAGGGTTAATGCACTGTTCATTGCACTGAAAGTTGTCATGTAGTTCCCAGCAAATTCTATGCTGCAAGAGAGAACAACGGTTATTAAAAGTGTGTTGCGTGTGTGTGTGTATACATACATATGCAACTTCATGTGCTCGTGTGTCTGCTCTCTGTTGGCAATACAGTCCTTCTGCTGTATTTATACTCTACTGTATTTCAGAACAATTTGAAGAAGCCTAGCCTGTCAGATAAAACTCTTCATCATCACAAGCAAATCTTTTTTGTATTGTTTATTGAAGTTATGGGCATTTTACTAAAAGGACACAAGGACACTTTCCTGCTTTTAAAGATCTTAAAAATTATCAACTCTATAAACAGTTCATTTCAATATTTTATCCTGTCAATACAAAACTAATCTCAATATTATTTTAACTTGAAAAGAAAATGTCAATACATCTGGAACAGCTTCAGAAATTTTAACAGAACACATTATTTCCATTCAAAATCTTAAGATTTATATGATGCTACACAGTCCTGATCAGGGTTGATAGAGAAGCTTTTTAAACATTAAATGCAATTAATTTTGCACACTATTGCAGACAACATGCCACTAGATAATTCCTCTTATCCACCTCCTGCAGATAGAATACCGGCTTTACAGATAGCTGAACCATGCAGTCTACAGTCGCAGTGGCATGTATTAGAGGGAAGACTAACTAAATAATCAAGGATTTGTGGTCTGTAGCTTGCTTGGCTGCCCCAGACAGGAGTATATCTGCTTCTCAATCAGATGTTCATGGCTTGAGTCCCAGGGCAGAAAGATTTGCCTGTTCTATGCTGCGAATTCCATTCAATATTGAATGAATGTTGGGTGAAATTGGTAGTTTATGTGAAGTTACTCTACAGACTCGAGACACATCTTGGCATAGAAATGGAACTCTCCTGAGCTTGATTTGATGCCAGCTTTACTCTGGAAATAAAGTGGTATAAACAGCTTGCTAGCTTCAGTTCACAAATCCCTATCCTAGCATGAGACCCTGGAAATATAGTTAACAGTAAAGTAATGGAATGTCCTCCCAATGTGAAAGGTGTTATATGAATGCCATTTGTTGTCACTTTAAATTTCTATATTAACTTTATATTCTCCATCTGAAGCCTGACATTTCTTGTGGTCTTAGCCTTAAGACTGATCTCTTAAATTTTAGGAAAATGCTAAATTTTGGAAAATTCATAAAATCAGTTTAGAAGCTGTGGTTTGCCATTGTTTTTTTTTAAATCAGCTTCCAATTTAAGAATTTTCCAAAATTCTTCAAACTGGCAAGGTTTTAGCTGGTTTGACTCCAGCAGTACCCCAACGCACGCTCTGGTTTCCCCCAACCTTGGCTCTTGCCAACCTGTGCCTAATAATTTCCAGAATTAGGTAAGCAGGATGCGTCCTTCCAGGGAGGGAGTGTGCATTCCATTCCAACTTCGATATCTGGAATCTCCATGTGTTGGTGGGATGCATGGAATTTTCAGTTTGGTTTGCATACTAAGTATGGTGATGGGTTTCCGCATGTGTCAGACACCTGTCTGACCAAAAATAATTAAATGTTAAGACAACAGTGGGAAGAATTTAAACTGGGAGATTTCAGGGCCCAGTCTAGCAAGCCAATTTACCAGAACAGTATATAAAGAACAGCATTACCATGCAGCTGATACCCAGCAATGTTCTCTTGCCAAAACACAAAATACTGCAGATGCTGGAAATCTGAAACGAAAACAGAGAGAGCTGAGAAAAACTCAGCAGGTCAGGCAGCATCTATGAAGAAAGGAAAGTGAGTCAATGTTTCGGGTCCACGAGCCTTTGGCAATTCTGACAAAGGGTCGTGGACCCGAATTGTTGACTCACTTTCCTTTCTTCATAGATGCTGCCTAACCTGAGTTTTCCCAGCTCTCTCGTTTTTGTTTTATGTTCTATTGTCAATCAGGTTAGGCACAATAAATGGTTTTAGTTTAATTGTTTGGGAAAAAATCCTGGAAGGATTAAGCTAAAAATGTAATAATTATGTAAAATCTGCTTTGCAGCAGATTGATTGACTGAATGAGTTCCCTTTTTGAGAAGACTGTATGAGAAGATGAACTCACATTCAATTACCTCACCCTATTATAAGAGAATTAGAAACTCAGTTGGTGAAGCCACTACCCAGTGAGAATTAAAGGCTGAACTACAGCGACATATAAGTCTATATAGGATGGTCCTAGCTGGACAAAACGATCAGAAGTTTGTGTTCGCAATGGCAAGCTGTGTGCTTTTAGCTGTTTAAATTCCAGCAATGCCCCAATGCACAGTCTGCGGTTCCCAAGCCTTGGCTCTTGCCATACTTCCTGGAATTAGGGTGAAATAGAGTGTGCACTCCATTCCACATTCCAGACAAAGTGAAATTTGTACAGCATATATTTGATAGCAAATTGATTCGGTTTCACGTGTGTCAGACCGAACCAAAGAAAGGACCCAACAGATCTCAGGTTTGTTTTTTGGTGAGTTAGCTCACATGAGAAGAGTTCTATACTCTCGGAAATTTCCTGATTGTAAATTTACTGACTTTGGCAGAGCTGATTTATTTTGAGTTAGCTGATCTCAGTTAAGGTAGAAGTTAATCCCACTAGAAATATCAGTGGCTCTGAGCTAGAGCGGCAAAATATCAGCCGGCTTTCCCACTCTTATCCAGTGACCACTACTGGAATGCATGCTTGCGTAAATGTGAGGGCAGGGTCAAAGTCCTGAGAAGACCTCTATGCTCAAACAGCCCCGCCACACTAACTGTCTGGCTCATGGAAACTTATAAACAATGGAAACTTATAATAATCATAATAATTCTTGAATTTGATATAGCGCTTTTCATGTCTTCTACATGTCTCAAAGCGCTTCACAGAATAGACTGTGAATTGACTATATTTGTGGGCGAATGCGGCAGCCAATTGCGCACAGCAATGTCCCACAAACAATCATGGATTGAAAATCACCAATTTATTATTGTTTTTTGTTTTGGAGGAATTATTATGGATGAAGCAAGGTGATCTTGACATGGGTTCAATTTCCGTGTGGGGCAAAACTTTAGGCAAATTTCCTTACTCCTTAAACACCTCTGCTTACTTAGCAGTAAGTAGGAACCCGGTCATTAATCACTTTCCAGATTGCTTTCTCAATAATCCCTCAAAACCAAATGTGGTCACTCAATTCACGACTGTTTGTGGGACACTGCTGTGTGCAATTGGCCTCCACATTTCATCCACAAAATACACAGTCAATCCACTTTACAATATATTCTGTGAAGCACTTTGAGATGTCTCAATGATGTGATAAGGCAGTCTATACAAGGATTATTATTACTGTTATATATAACCTCCAACGAGGCAGCACTCCCCTAACATTGGAGTTTCAGTCTAGATCGGGTGTCAAACTCATCTGGCCTCAAGGGCCATTTATGTTAACACTGTTGACTTGCTGAGCCACACCATAAAAAAAGTAATATACTTGTACAAAAATGTCTATAGTGATTATGTGTATGGGACGATCACTCATGCAATGCAGAATGCACAGGTTTGAATATGCATCTTATATTAAAAAGAGAAGGGTTGATTTAAAAAAAAATTCCAGTACATCAATACAATTTTAGAAACTAATTGGCAGGATGTCAAATATCACCCCATGGGCCACTTGTGGCCATATGTTTGACATGCCTGGTCTAGACTGTGAGATCAAAGTCCTGAAGTGGGGTTTGAACTCACAACCCCTGACTCAGAGAAGAGAATGCTATGAACTGAGCCTACTGACACCTGATATATATTTAGATATATGGAATATATACTGGGTAAGGAGTAACATATTTAATTCTATTTCCATATAGTCTATTCTGTGGCCATATTCTGTTTGAGCTACTCTACCATGCAAGCACTTGAAATTGCATTTGACTTGCAGTGAAACACTTCCAGACAAGTGTCAAATGGAAAATTGCTAAAACTATTGTCTTAAAGTTACCACACAGACAGTGGAGTCTATTTTAAATAACGTTTCTCAGAATCAAATTCCCGGAAGGATGAAGCCACAGTGATGCTGGTAGCTTATGTATGTATAGTCTGCATAATGCTAACATCTACAGGGACCACATGGCACCTGTCAGAGATGGTACCTAACTCAAGAAGAACAACTAACTGTGGCCATCTTGATGGAATTGCACTATTTCCCACAAGAATACGAATACCTACACAACCAGTTGTAATACTGAGCTTGCAAGTCTTACACAAGTGTGAACAAGATAGAAATGGAAAATGCCACATAATATCCAGCATGGAGTTCACATTTGTACTAATGATGTGACATGGTTGATTACTGAAACTAACCAGCAACAAATGCAGAGTCTAGTCCTGGTAACACCACATCGGATGATACATTTCACATCACACTGATGTGTGAGACTAATGGTTTCTCTCACTTAATGTAGCTCAGCAACAGTTGTATAATGGATTTGTTTCACAGCTGTTTAATGCAGGCACGCTATAGAACATGATTAATTTCCAGCATTAACACACCTAGGCCTGTAGAAAGCACCGTGGAAGTGGTGTTGCCATGTATTTTGGCTGCCTGCCTCTAGTTTCTTCTCTACCCACATTCTTCTCTCCTTAAGATCAGTCGCTCTTTTCTTCCTCGCTTAGTCACTTTTCCATTGTCCCCTTTGCCTGTGTATTCTTTAATGATATTTTCCAAATACATTTGAATTCAGCTTCTGTCTATTTGATTAACATTGGGTTTCCCGCCACTTCCTGTCACTCATCAAAGCCAACAATTCCACATACAAAATCACTTTGTGTTAAACTTCAAGATTGGTAGAATTGTGGGAAATGTTTTAATTTAGAAGCTGGTTCTTTTAAGAAACTGACTTCCAAATTAAGAATGAATTTAAAATTTTTCCACAATTCTGTGCAATTTAACATTTTAAGACAAAATGGTTTTATAAGCTCAGGCTGTTTCCAGAGTGTATAGCTACATGTGTGGAATATGCTTCTTACAGTGCACATCAGCCTTACCTGCACTGTGAAACTCAGAAACACAGAAATGTCTGAATGCAATCGTTGTGGATGTTACTGATATAATTCTAACACATGATATGCTGCTAAAATAATAATAATTCTAATATTTGATATTTTGCCTTATCGTGTCAATAAAATGTGTCAAAGCACTCCATACTCCATTGTGGAGTCCTGTAGCTCAGTGTTTAAGAGTGCTCGCAAGTGAGACGAGTGCTCTAACCACATCGCCTGTTTGATTCATGGCAGGGCAAAATGTTGGGCAAGTTTCCTTACTCCACACGCCTCTGTTTACCTAGCAGTAAGTAGGGATCCGGTTATTAGTTGATTGGCAGATTGCTTTTTCGGGGGTAATAATTCCTTCAAAAAAATTAACAAATTGGTCACTTCAATTCACGACTGTTTGTGGGACACTGCTGTGTGCAATTGGCTGCTGCGTTTCGCCAACAAAATATAGTCAATTCACTTTACAGTATATTCTGTGAAGCCCTTTGAGACGTCTCAAAGACATAATATGGTGCTATATCAATTGCAAGTATTATCATTACACATAAAATATTGGGGAAAAAAATCCACAATTGGCTGCTGTGTATCGCCCACAAAATGCACAGTTGCTCTGCTTTACCATATAGTTTGAAGCACTTTACGATGTCTCAATGATGTGATAAGGCGCAATATCAAACACAAGGATTATTATTATAAGATTTTACTGTAAATGAAAGAGACTGCATTGTTAGGCAAACATAAATTTGTTCAAAACAATGACCCCCAAAATACATGAAGTGAATGACCAACTATTTTTATCTGCAGAATTGTTTGCCAGGACACTGAGAAAATTCTCTTCTCTTTTCGATTAATGCCACAGGATCTTTAACATCTGTGTGAACAGGCGTACACAATCTCAGTTTAATATCTTTTCTAAAGAATATGTCAGAATCTCTTACAATGCAGTGGTCCTTCAGCGTTGCATTGGAGTATCAGTCTCATCTACATGTGCTATAACAGCAACCTAGACTCACAAAATGAATGACAAACATCAACATTAACATACCTGTATCATGTATACAAAAGTGTCCTAATTGACAGTGCTTTATAAATACAGTGAGGATGAATTTTGCAATATATCTTAGCAGGATCTCTTAATTAAGAAATGCAAGTGGGGCTGCCGTCTGGTAAGCAGAAATACAGTATGTTGTGCTGATTGCGAGGACACCCACTCTGAGTTGCGGAATTGATGCAAGTTGGCATCACAGATTTTCGCACTTCTTAAACAGGAAATCCATTGAGAAATGGCGTAAAATGAACCGCTCCCTTCCATTTCTAGAAGCTTTTATTTATACTGATGATTGATGCTCACTGCAAACGTATATGGTGCTGGGTCGGATTCGTCGCCTCGCTCTCCCAGGCAACTTTGGCAGAATTTTGAATGTTTTGGGCATGAATTCCACACAGGACTCGCGAAACTTCCTGATACGCCAGCAGTAGATGATAGGGTTGAAGACGGACTTCAGGTAACTGAGCCACAAGATGTAGGTGCTGATCACGTAGAACGACTGGCTGTAATAAAACTTCCTGCTGAAAACAGATAGCAGGCTGTAGACGGTGTATGGCAGCCAGCAGAAGGAGAAACCAATGAAGAGGATTAAAATGGTGGTGAAGGCCCGGGTTTTAAAACTCATGTCGACGTTTAATTGATGAGGCCGTTGCAGCCCCATCAGCCCCAGTTTGCTCACTTGGCTCAGGCAGAGGCTGTCGGCATGGTTCTGGATGCGCACGGCGTTCCTTCGCACTGTGTTCAGAATGCACAGGTAAGAGTACAGCATTACGCCAAAAGGCACAAAGAAAATAGTCACCAGCAAGAGCACAGCATACACACGGTTGGCCATGGACTCGGTGTATCCCAGGACACACTGGGGTGCCCGAGTGGGCACTTCCACAACAGTCCAACCCACTACTGACGGGAATGAAATGCAGAAGGAAAACACCCATGAAATGACGATCATCATTTTGGCCCGGTGTGGATTCAGCTTGTCTTGCCGCTGCACTATGATTAAATAGCGGTCCACGCTGATTATCAACAGTATTGCCACACCTTCCAAGACAAAGAACCAGTACAACATCGCAGAGATCCGGCAAAAGTAGTTTCCAAAGATCCAGTCGACTGTTATGATGGTGGCTGTGGTGAAAGGCATGCACATCAGAGACAGCATAATGTCAGAGAATGCCAGAGTTGCCAGGAGAAGATTGATGGCTGATCGCATTGCCGGCTTCTGGTACACAATTAAGCACACAATTGTATTGCCAAGGAAACCAATGGCGACCATTGACATCATAACTATTGTCACTAATATCCTGATAATGATGGGCAGATTTCCACTGTCTGAATTGAGAGGGAGATTTGTTCCATTCAACAGCTCAGGGGCACAGCTCTCTAATAAAGTGCTATTACAGACCATTATCTTGGGAAATGTGTTGCCCACTCACTTCTAAGCTGATAATGAGTTTGATTAGATTTCCCATGTTCACTCTGACTGCAATGTTTGAAGGTTGAGTCTTGTAAGTAGGCTCATGGGGAAAGAGCATCCATTGTGGGAAGATGTAATGCAGAGCTGCAATATCTTGACAGGAATCATCTTCAATACAATTTCCAAAATACCTGTCACCACATCACAACTCCAAAAGTTGGCTCAGAACCCTAGAAAAAAAACAACAAAAAATCAAGTTACACCAAGGATAATTAACATTTATGTGGTACCTACATTTATATAGCCTGAGGAGTGCTTCACACAGCTGAAAGCAGTAACTATTGCTCGTTTCACTTTATGAAGGAAGAATACATATGCGGATGACACCTATATCTACTTCTTCTCCCCCAGCTCCGACTCCAGCTCTGCTGATGTCTGTCAGCTTGCTTGTCAGACATTAAGACCTGGTTGAGTGCCAACTTTCTGCAACTGATTGTTGACAAGATGGAAGCCATACTCCTTGGCTCCTGTCAACATTTTCTCAACTGCGGCTCCGACCTCCCGATCCTATCCCTCAGACTTACCAAACCTCTACATAACCTAGGCGTCAAGTTCAATCCTTGGTTGTCCTTATTTCCCGCATCTGGTCCCTGACCAGGGCACTTTCTTCCGTGTCCTTTCTCGCTTCCAATCGTATATCACACGCAACACAGCCAAAACTCTTCTCCTTGCATTTGTCATCTCCCACCTCGATTATTAGAATGCCCTTCTCGCCCAGCTCCACCATTCACAAAATCCAACTCATTCAAAACTTCAAATCCGATACCCTCAACCACACCGTACCCGGTAAGCAGGTCGGAGAGGCTGGGATGGGTCAGGGCAGGAAGTCATTTGTAAACAAGTGTGAGGGTTTTGAAATTGATCCGTTTTGATAGGAAACCTTTGAAGTCTGGAAAGGACTGGGTTAGGGAAACGTTTTTAAGGCACAGAATGGCTAGGGTATGGAATACCCTACTGGAAGCAGTAGTTAAGGAGGGTCCGTATTAGCTTTCAACAAGGAACTAGTTAGATACCTAAAAAGGAGTAAGCTACCGGGGTATGGGGAATGGGGCAAGTAAATGGGATTACTCTTAAAGGAGCCAGCACAGACACAATGGGCTGAATGGCCTTCCTCTGTGCTGTAAATTTCTATAGTTCTAACAGTGCAAACATGTGATTATTTAATGTCTGCTCTGCTTATTAGCAGTAAAGCTGTACTGCCATTCAGTTATCAGGAATGCACAGGACTGGAAAGGATCATGGCAGTCCATCTAGCAGATGCCAGATTTTGTTTTACCCTCAATCCATTTCCTCAGCAAATAACCGGCAAATAACCAATCCATTTTGTGGAGTCCTGTAGTTTAGTGGTTAGAGTGCTCGCCTTGCAAACGAGAGGACCTGGGTTTGATTCCCAGGCAGAGCGAAACGTTGGGCAAGTTTCATTACTCCACACGCCTCTGTTTACCTAGCAGTAAGTAGGAACCCGGTTGTTAAGTCGATCGCTTTACCGGGGTTAATAATCCCTTCAAAAAAAAATAATAATTTGGTCACTCAATCCATGACTATGTGTGGGACACTTCTGTGCATGAGTGGCTGCAGCATATTGCCCATAAAATATAATCGATTCAGTTTTTCAGTATATTCTGTGAAGCTCTTTGAAGACGTGATTTGCACTATATCAAATGCAAGGATTATTATAATAATAATTATTATTATTATTACCTGCGTCAATTCCCTCTTGAACTTCAGGGCACAATGCGGTGAAATATGCAATGTATCAACAGATTCCATAATTATTGATAACATTCAAAGCAGGTTTTCAAAATATTTCTCTGCCATACTGCATTCCACATCATGGGCCTGAATGTTTTGCCTCACTTTAGAACCAGTGTTTGAGCAATGCTTCACAGCTTACTTACTGAGTTAAGTTGAATCAGAAAACAGAAACAACAAATGGAACACTATAATAATAATTCTTTTCTACTAAAAAATTGTCTCACCAGCCTATTTCTACTTTTCAGAAGTTTGCCCAGGTTCAAGAGGCCAAAGTAAACCCCAAATAACACTTCAACACCAACAAAACTAGGACTGTAAGACAGGTTACAGGTTCAGGGTTATGAAAACAACCTTAGGACAGACATCAGAGAGTACATTTTTACACAGAGGGCAGTCAACAGCCAGAATAGGTTACCAGGATTGTTGTTTGAGGTCAGGACGCTAAACTCATATAAGAAACTGCTTGATGCTTTAATGTAAGTTGGGTGGATATTCTGGAAAGATCAGATCAAAAGAACTGAAGTGCCTTCTTCATCTGAGCCTGTCTTGTGATCTGGGACACCTTACTGACTTTTGTGGAGTCCTGTAGCTCAGTGGTTAGAGCACTCGCTTTGCAAGCGAGAGACCTGAGTTCAATTCCAGGCAGGGCGAAACCTTGGGCAAGTTTCCTTACTCCACACGCCTAATAATAATCCCTCCAAAAACCCCAAAACAATAATAAATTGGTCATTTTCAATCTACGACTGTTTGTGGGACATTGCTGTGCGCAATTGGCTGCCGCGTTCGCCCACAAATATACAGTCAATTCACTTTACAGTGTGTTCTGTGAAGCGCTTTGGGACGTCCTCCCGACGTGAAAAGCGCTATATCAAATGCAAGGATTATTATTATTATTATTATTATTATTGTGTCTGAGGGAAAAATAAGTAACAACAGAAGCCATGACATAAGCTCTGGGCTATGGGTAGGTAGTCAGTGAAGTACAGATGTTACGGAGAAAGGAACGCAGAGGAAACTGCCTGAAAGAATAACATTGGGGAAGGAATACTTTATATGCACAGGATGTAAAATCTTCCAAGCCTTGCACTAAAGTGTTGAAAGCTTGTATTAGCGACCAACGTCACGGTTCCTTTTGATGCACTGTAAGTCTCCCCTTGCTTTCCTGTTTGTTATTGCTTGGATCTAAGCGGCTACCAATAAAAGAGGTTAAAAAATAAACAGATTGAGGGCTGAGTGATGAATGTGCGTCATATTGTCTGCCAAAAGTTGCAGGCTCAGTAATAGAGTTTCCTTCCCTGCAGTGCAGTGCATTTGATGTTTGCAGATGAAAGTGATATTTTATCCGAAGAGCACTAGAAAAACAAAGAAAGACCAGGGAGATGCCATAGTTTCAAAGAAATTTCATTCAAATAGAGCTGTTCTGGATTAGGCTCTGTATATAGTCTGTGCAACGAGTGCTGACAGATCAGCATCTTTAGGATTTGTGACCTCAAACTCTAGACATAAGACAGAATTGGGGCAAGACAGCAGACAAAGCTATAGTGGGTGAGGGAGGAAATTTCAAAAGATAAAAGACTGAGTAGGTTGTCACTAAGATGTGGGTAGACAGAGGAGTTGGGGCAGATGTACAACTGGTAGCATTGGTGGAGAGGAAGACACAAGAGATTAAAATGGGTTGTGACTGGGGAGATGGGATAGAAACTTTGCTAAAGTTTGCAAGTGGGAAAACAGTACCCAACACTCTTTCCCTTCCAGCTGCAATCTAGGTACATATTCCAAGCCAGTAACTCTCCAGATGAAATTGTTCATTTCCTTTGTGGCTGTTTATGAACATTGCAAATTAACTGCTGTGTTCACCTACAAATATCCAGTCACTATACTTTTCAGCAATTTGCTGTGAAGTACTTCAAGATATTTCGCTATTATAAGAGTTATATCAAATGAAGGATGTAAGGATTACCACCTGCGCAGCAGAGAGTGGAAAGAAAGGAAATAAACAACATTCTCTCCTTGTGGAACAAGTCCAATGCATGGGGCTTGTTGGCGTAAATCCTCAGGTTGGCATAGAACTATCCTCCTTGGGGAGGAGGTAAGCGGCTTCTTCTTGGAGATGAATTGGCTCCTAGGTGACATGCCTGGCAATGGATTGTCAGAATCGAGTCGGCTCTCTGTGGCGGTCTCAGTAGTCTGGTTCCTGAGCCAGGCGGGTCCGCAGTATTCCAGGGTATTGCTGATGACAACACAGCCAGTCTAGCACATCGGCAGCACTTGGAGGGCAGACCAGTCTCTGGGGGCAGGGAGTCCTCCCACTCAGCCCCTGTTAATCTTGCAAGCCAAAGCCCTAGGTTAGGATGGTCCTAGCTGGACAAGCAACGGGAAAGCTTGCCAGCCAGTGCTATCAATGACAAGCTATGAGGATTTAGCTGGTTAGACTCCAGCAGTACCCCATCGCAAACTCCAAGCCTTGGCTCTTGCCAATCTTCGCCTAATGCTTTCTGGTATTACGTAAGCAGGATGTGTCCCTCCAGAGAGAGAGTGTGTATTCCATTCCAGCAATTTATTTCTGGAATTTCCATGTGTAGGTGGGATGCTTTTCTTAAGCATGATGATGAATTTCCACATATCTTAGACACCTGGCTTCCGCAAAAAATAGGAGAATTCTGGAGAGTCTGTGACAGACTCAATGTCATAGATAACTTTTGTACAACCAAATCCTGGTGATTGGGATTGTTGGTTCAGTCTCCATCCCCTGTTTCCACAGAGGAAGCAGTCGATGATCTACTGTAGGATTCCAGGCTAAGCGAATCTAGGCACATTCAGCACTGTTGATGCTCAGGAAAAATTCAAGTTAAACATCTTCATACATTTTCTAGTGTACTTCCTAATGTCAGAACTTTCAAAAGGAAAATGGCTCATTATGACCTACCGCACAAAATTTAAAACAGTTTAGATGTTAAGCAAACCTCCATTAGCAACTTAATTGCACATGGACTGTCAAAATAGCAATTTATTGAAATCAATTATCTGATGCTTTAAATGTATCAAGTATTGGATTCATTATTAAAATGGACTAAGAAAGTGCTGACTCATTCCTCTATTATGCTCCAGGTTGGCTCTTTTGTCTCACACATCCCACCTTTTTGTGGCATCCTCTATTGAGTACATGTTAGGCTGTA